CAATTACAGGGCAAATCTCAAAAGAGAGGCCGCTCTCCAGCCTCCAGTAACAACAATTCTGTGAACCAGCGCGATAACAATAATAAACGTCCACATTACTCAAATCCATCTGCTCAGCAGTGTGATCTCTGTGAAAGGGGAGAGTTTTCCAACGAGGCCGAACTGCAAGCCCACAAGAAACTTGCTCACACTCCATCCAAGCTTCCAAACAAGTCCATATCGAATCTCAGCATGTCTTGCGCATATTGCGGGGAAGTATGTCGTTCTAGAACTGACCTGGAGTCCCACACAAGGATTCAACATGCATCGAATGAACCTGGTGGTCGGCACAAGTGTAACATATGCGACGAAGTCTGTCCATCAGGGGCAACTCTTGCAGAACATAAATTGCAGAAACACTGCAAGATTCAATTAAGCGACACATGCATCGTTTGTCGAGGAAATCTAGCTTCGGAGTCACAGTTTCTGGAACATGTGCAAAGACATAGCCTAGAGAACGTGGATCCTCAGCAAAGATTAGATGGTTCTCTTCCCCATCTCCCTGCAGCTTGTGTAGTTTGTAGACAGACATTGATCAGTGATTTGGAGTGTCGTCTTCACGCCAGACACCATTTAAGAGCTTCTACTGGTTCTCACAGTGTAACATCCAGCCCCAGCCCCAACCAAAAGAACCAGAATCCTAGCTGTTGCCTTTGTTTAAGAGATTATTTAGCTGATGACTTTGTCAATTTGCCTCCAAGTCATATAAGCGGCGGAGGACAGTCTTTAAGGGTCTGCAAGTCATGCTACATTCGTCACTCTCAGGGTTTACCTATCTTGAATTCACCTTATGAGCCTGCTAGATCTAAATGTGACGGTACTTGGACATCCAATAACAAAGATGGACAATGGGATGGATCAAGGGATACATGGGAGTCAGAGAACAGATTTAAGGAAGACAGAAACGAGGTAAGTGATAACAAAAGATTGTCAGGGTTGTGGGGTGAAGTTTAGGACTTCTAAAGAAGTGGAAAAACATCGTTTAGTAGAATACAAGAAACCTGGATCTATGCCGGACACGTATATATGTATAGAGTGTCAGGTAACAGAGATAATAATAAATAGACCATAATAATAAAATTTTGCGTTAAGAATTTAATAACGGAAACATTTGTTTCTTTTCTCAGATGTCGTTGCCAACAGAAGCAAAAATTCAACAGCATATAAAGAAGGAACAGCTGGAGATGTCGGGAAAGACTTCCATAGAGGCGTTACGATGTCATCTGTGTCTTTTTGAAGCTAGCAGTCCCTTACAATTGCAAAGCCATTTGATAGAGCACACTTTTGCAGGATGTGCCGCTCTCAGCTGTTACATTTGTCAGTCTCTCTTCACAGCTCCTATCGGCCTCCAGGTATGATAAGAAGCATCATTCTTCATCTCATTACTATCATTATTTTTGAAAATATTTATTTTATTTCGACAAAAACTTTTATTTCATTTCTTCTGAAACTCTCTTATTTCTTAGTTTCCTACAATTTTAATTTATTAATGTGAAATTATACTTATAGAAGGAGTCCAAATAACCTTAATCTTTCATTTTTAGAGCCATATGCTTCAAGAGCATGGCCTGGGTGCTCGTCCCTACGATTGTTCTCAGTGCACGCTCAAGTTCTTCTTCAGAGCAGAATTGGACCATCACATGCTAACATTTCATCGACCTGGGGATGCGTGTTCACCGGATGACAAGGCAGAAAATACTGGAGAAACGAAAGCAAGAGACGCTGAGGAAAGGAACTGCGGTGAAGAAATAACCGTAAAGGAAGAAATAGTTTCAGAAATAGTTGCAGACGAAGAAGAAGAAATCAACGTGGACGAACAAGTGGAAGAGAACGATCAAAAGGCGAACAAGGAAACAGAAATTGAGACGAAATTGAAAACTGAACTTGTGGAGGAATCTGTTCCAGAAAAGATGAAATCGTGATCGTTATTCGTTAATCGAGGAAGTAAAACGTTTAAATAATTATCTTGAAATTAGTCCAGTACGAGAGTAAACAACGACGAGATTACCAACGTACTCTTGGACTAAATCAGATTTTGTATTAATTTTACTTTTAATAGGCAGAGTGATAAGATGTTGATTTATCCGTTTGGGTAATTTATTATTTCTTTTATTATACAGTTAAATTTTATTAATTTAGAGTTACTAGTTAGTAGTTGGTAGTTAATAAAATTTCATTCCGATGCTGTATGAAAAATTACTGCGAGGAATATTACATTTGGGATTATGTTTAATTAACATATTTTTGCAAGAATGTTCTATATTTACATAGTTCACGTGAATTTTTATTGTATCAATAATTGATCTTCAGGATAATTATAGATTATGGAAGATTGTTATTACTCCAAGATTATTTTATGCGTTAAAACAAGATTGTAAGCCTAATTTTATTTTATGGTACAGCATACTTTGCAATTCAATTTATTATTATATATTATGTTAAATAATTTATATAATAGCTGTAAAAAATCTGGAATGTGGATAATATTTTACATTATATTTTGTTATTTTAGACTTTAGATATTCGTGAACTTTACGTTGTCAATATGTAATTTTATTTTGTGTTAAATTTTTACTATAAGTCGCAGCGTTGAATTTCATCGTCTAACAAGTGTTGGAGTTGATATTGCATAATATGATACTCCTTACGTAGGAAGTGTATATTCTACAAACAACTTGGACGAACTTTGTAACATAAAGGCAACGTTATTTCTTATTAAAGGAATGAAAAAGATAAAAAAAGCGTCTATTTGTAGATGCAACTTGTAAATACGTTGAATAATATTAGAATGTATTGTTAGTCAGCGTTTTATTGACTTTGGTCAATACCATAAGCGACGATTATTGTTTAAAGTAAGCAGAATGCAATAAATTGTCCACTAGGCTTAGTTAGTCGATAAGATAGTTCTTTACAAAATAAATTATTGTTCTAAATCAACAGCTCTTACCGCTTTTCCTTTCCCATTTTAGTTAACGATACCTAAACTAATTATTAAACGATAAAATAGTATTATACTATTACTTATATTGTTATTATATAATTATTAACTATTCTTTTTCAGACATATGACAGGTAAAACTTAACAACTTTCCTTAAAGATAAGAAGAAGATGACCTTGTCTTTTATAATGTAAGTAATTTCTAGTTCCTTTAAAATTTGTTAATTAATTCAGCTGCGTTTTCCTCTCTAGATAAGAAAAGAAGAAAATTTATAAGTATTCCCAACTTTAATTAATGCATATGTTAATAAAATTGATGATTATTTGCATTTTTAAAAGTGTCATCGATTATATACAATTAATTGGACTGCAACACAATTAACAACGCTATAAAGACTGTTTATGGGATACTTGTTTGTTAATTACTGGACTTTAACATTTGGATAGTAACCATTTAGGAAAATTAGAAAAGCTAGTAATCGCGAAAATATTGTAGAATCGCAATACTCTTGTTACTGGTGTATTATAACAAGATCTTCATAAACGTTCAATAAAAGTTAATCAAGTGATTAATTAATTAACAGCCCGCCCAGTATTTCTAAAATTACCGATACCAATCCTTTAATATGGAATATCCCACGAGGGACTATAACGCAACCTATTATACCTGTTTAAGATTAGATTAGTTGTAAGTTTGAATAATTCATCTGTCCTAGTCTTACACTGTCTATCTCTCCTACTATCGTTCATTTCATCTATCCTCGTCACACATTGATGCTTTCCTTATTTCACTTGGGCCTTACTCTGTCCTTGTCGCAGAATAATGCTTTCCTTGTCTACGAACGCCTAATATGTCATCTACTGCCGGATACACCAAGTTACGGTTCCTACCGCCCGTGCTAGATGGCAGCACATGGATTCTTAGTAGACAAGGAAAGCATCAGTGTGCAAGAAGGACAGCGTAGGGCGTGAGTGGAACAAGGAAGACATTAACGTGCGACAAGGACAGATGATGCAAACAACAATAGAAAGAAAGATGGACAGTGTGCAACAAAGACAGACGATAGAGACGATAGTAGAAAGAACGAGTGACAGTATGCGACAAGGACGGACGATATGAATGACGATAGGAAAGATAAATAGCGTGAGACTAGATGAATTATTCAAACTTACAACTAATTTAATCGTAAGCAGGGCTAGTTTTTGAGTTTCTTCTTCCCAAATTTTATGTTAAAGTCCCTCGTGCGATACGCCTCATTGAAGGATTGGAGTTGGTAGTTCTAGAAATGCTGAACAGACTATTAAATAATTAATCACTTGATTAACTTTCATTGAACGTGTATTAAAGCTTTTTATAATATACATACTATATAAAAGTTAAAATTTAACAATATCTTCACGATTATTAATCTATCTTACCTAGCTATATAAACTTTAATTTATTCTTTTATATTTAATTTCTACATGGTAATATAATACCAACAATGTATTTTATGATATGTATGTATATTTACACTATTTATTTTAAGAGTGTATAAAATATATGAAACAATTTGCGGGACATCTTTCGTCTTCTTGTCTTTGATGAGAAATTCGTGTAATTTGATGAAAATTTCTTCTTGACTGGTTAATGTCCCCATAATTCTTTTTCCTAATTTTCTTAAATGGTCATTATCCGAATTCGTTGTTAAATGTTAAAGCCTAACGGTTGCGACACTCTTGTATTCAATTTAAAATATTCGAAGATAAGGGAAAGTAATATTTCTTTTTATGTGTTGTATAATTGCTTTTGCTGCAACATCAGGAAACTGCAACAGGAATCACGAAATCTTCACCACTCAAGAAAATTAGTTGTTGTTAGTTCTAAATGTTTTGTGGTTATGTTTATGATTTTCAGTGCGTTTATATTGTAAGAAGTATTAAAAAAGTTCTTAACTTTTTTAATATTGTAAAAATAGTGGCCATTAATTTCTAATAGTATTGAATAAATGCTTGTATAATAATTATGTTGTACAAATAAGAATGAATTATATATTATTTAACTTAGAACTAAGTTATATTTGTTATTACATTTAAGTTATATAAGTATCTAAGTGCGTGTAGCACTAAGAATTCTCTAGATGTAAATATAAAGATGTAAAATAAAAATATAAATAAGATTTAAATATTAGATATAAATCATGTGAAAATGTACATTAAATATAATATATGGCTATCTTAAAATGACAAAAGTCTTTTAACCAGTAAGCTGTTTATACTCGTCATGAAAAAATGCATCTGTGTCCATAAATATTACAGATTAGATACTAAAGCATAACAATTTTATTCGCTTTCAATCTTCAATCGAAGTATTTTCAATATTGATGTCATTATTTTGCACATATTCCTTTCTATTACGTTTATTTTCGACTTGTGTCCTGAATAATAATTAATTTTATATAATTTTATATAATAATTAATAATTATTCTATCGACGTTGAAACTTTAACCATGAGTAGCATACGTTTAATAATAATAGATTCTTTTAGGAGAGTCAGTATGAAAAGGTTAGTCTGTATTTGCACATATCTCTCATATCGCCATGCAAAAAATAAGGCTTTGTTTTATCGACGTACGAAATTGAGCAAATATAAAAAAGGTGCTCACAGTAACATAAAAGAGTATCGCGCGTTCAATCCTAAATTATGAATGTTGAAAATAGGATACTGGAAAAGCTTGCAGCCAAGTCAATCACCGATGAACCCCTCCCAAATTTCCTTTACGAACCTAAAAGAAAAGGCGAATCAGATAGCTACTTAAAACATGTATGACATCATCATCAAGCAAGGTATAACCAAAGGAATCTCAATTACCTTCCACATTTTCAGAACTAAAAGTCCAAACGATGGTATATTGAGGAAAAATCTAAAACAAGAAATTACAAGGACAATCAGCAATACCGATCAAGCAAATTGTAACCTGGCCTTCTCATTGGACCGAGCAGGTATAATAAGCGACACTAGTGTCAATATGGTTATGAGAGGCAGGACATAAATCATCTATTGTTGCAATGCCAGTATTCCACAAACTGGAACAAAGCTTCATTATAAAACTCCAGAAATTGAATTACTGTCTGCCATTATTATGTAATGTAATGCGACATAACCCCACAATAGCAATTTGCATAGTCACACACTTGTTCCTGGAAAGCTTCAACCTATTGATCTAGATCCATAACAAGATATGAATATTAAGGCCAAGCTTATGTATGTAAACTTTATGTAATGTAAATAACGATAGAGATTACATTGGTTAAATAAAAAAAAAAATCTACATTCAATCGAAGAATAATGTTAGGTAGGATAAGGAGTGAACATTTACTCTTTTAATTAACTACAGGATAATTGTATGAAGATGCTATACGTTTATGGATGTACATCCGACTATTTTCGATAGGAGTTGTTTTTAATACGAGCGAAATTATAGATTGCCTTTCTCGTCTCTTTGAAGTTTACGTTTGTTGTATCTGTTGTAATAAGGTAAAATACGACGCAGCTGTGTTGAATACCTGAAATAAAACTTTTTATATCTTCATTGCTTTACCTTCTAATCTCGTAAGAATTGATCTTTCTTCGACGTGAAGATATTACATTTTTAAATTCAACACGGTTTAATTAATATTAAATATTATAATAATAATAAATTATAATGTAATAATAATATTATAATAATAAATTACTCACGGCCGTTAATGTATGGATAGACAACGTTTGGAAAGTTAATGCTGAAATACTGGAATATTGCTGCGCCCTAACAATCATAAGGCAAAGGTGTCGCTGATAAATTGGCGGTAAATCGTACCACGGTACATTGAAATAGACTGCATGACCTATTTCTTGACTTTCTTGAACGAGGATTTCACCAGGCCAACACCATAATAAGAGGTGTACCGCCATAGAAATGAAATAAGATATAAATTTCACTAGATCGGCTTCTGCTTTCCCGGTATCGAGAATTGCATACCCACTTAAACAAACTTCTATTCCGCTAGTAAGAATTTGCAGGAAAACGATGGGTGTTAATAAATTATTCACCTCATTCACCACACTGTATAGAAGTAGTACTATCGTCAAATATACGAATTGAAGATAAATCAGTACGATTTAATGGTGATACAAAATATTAGTTACAAACAATTTATTAATAAAATCAAAAATAAGGCAGGATTGGAAGTAGAAAAATATTTACTGTATTATTCGCTGATGATGGCGAATACATCTCGTTAGATCTACCTTTATCTTTTGCGTGTAATTTGGATTGCAATTTATTTCAGTTCCTATATTACTGATCCAGGTATTGATTAATTTAAATTGAGCAGACACATGTAACATCGTGGTCATAAATGAGCAATCCAAACCGGCGATTGAAGTGATAGATAACGTGGCTGATAAAAATTGACAAATGAAAGCGATTTCGAACTTGGGAGATGCTGAAATATCTGTGCCGTACCTAATAACGAGATTAAGCATAGTGAATGAGGAATAATAAATTTTAGATCTAAATAAGATAAGATAAACATCATCGATAACAAATATTGTATGATCTAAACATTGCAGTAAATATATTTCTATTAGTTTCGCTTTGTGATCAACGACGAAGAAAATCAAAGTAGAAAATATTATCTTTACCAGACGATGAAAGGTAAATGTCGACTGTTACTTGTACTATTGGCGTTGTAGTCAAATCTAAAATAATCAACAGCTGCAGCGCTGGAAAAAGTGATCACATTGCACACGCAGGATGAATAAAAAACTATCGTACAAATACGTGCCCAATAAGCGAACTGTATGTAAGATTGTATTTCATTCGAATCATTGGCAGTATCCCACAAACTTTTTATTTCGTAATAAAGCATATACGATCTTTCTCTTCTTGCTATTAGGTAAAACATTTTGAACAACGTTTGTCCGAGCGTGGTTACAATGCTTCCTGCCCCTAATTCGAGAAGGGATTTAATTTATTATTTTCCCAAAACATAGAAGGTCGCTCAAAAAATGTCAGATATAAATGCATTCTACTAAAACTTACCTGCTAGGATCTCTATGTTCCCCCAATTCACTGCTATCAACATAATTTCGGGCACAAAAACACTAATGAGTGATATTAGTGTGAATGTTAAACGGATATATGAAAATATTTTGCTACACGTCGAACTTTTCTGTTCGATGGGCCACATTCCAACTATACTACAAAGGATTTTGTTCGGTAGTATGTAATAATCGAATGTATTTGATAGCTCTTTCATCTTCTCTGCTCATATGAAATTGGATACGTCTACGACTAAAACTCTTTCTCGTATATGTCTTAATAAAGTTCCCCAATAGGGAATTCTTTATGCCAATATTATAGGTTAAACACTAAAATATAAGGTTTTATTCGCTTTCCCTCTTCAGCCGAAGTATTTTCAACACTGAAGTTATCAGGATAAGAACTGTTGTATCAGAAACAGAGCTTTGTAATTCCGAAAAGAAAATAAAGCATTCCTTCTATTGATGTCATCATTTCATACATATTCCTTTTCATTTCGTCTATTTTCGATTTATGATCTGATTAATAATTGATGTCGTAAGTAGTAGGAACGACATATAAGTTGATACAATTTTCTTCCGACGTTGAAACTTTAATAGGTAGCATACGTTGAATGGTAATAGATTGTTTAGGAGAGTTAGTATGAAAATGGTAGTCTGTATTTACACGTTTCTCTGGTGTCATCCAAAATATGAGACTGTATTATATCGACGTACGAAAGATAAAATAGTTAATACGTAAAAATAACATTTTTGAATAAACTTAGTTCATTTATGAATACTAGCTTTTTTTAAACATGATGAAAATACATAATGAAATAATGGAATGAAAAATTACAAAGGATGAATGAATCTTAAAGTAACTATACAGTAGCTTGTAACTAATTTATGTTTTATACATAATATAAGTCATAGTTTTATGAGGTTTATTCACCTTACAACAATCTTTTCTTCCTTGGCAAAGTAAAGCTGTTGTGAAATTGAAAAAAGAAGCTCAATGCACTATCGCATTTTTATCGATCGTTGAATTTCTGTTTACCGGAAATAACACGCAAATAATACGAATTCGATAGATACACAAATTTTTCACCGATTATATTTAAAAAAATCTAAGAGAGGATGATAAGATTTTGTAACCGCGAAAGGAAGCAAAGCGTTACGCGAACTTACGAATAATGTCATATTTTTCATATTTGCAGTGAATATTTCACCCAAAAATGTGATTGGAGTGAAGAGAAAAGGATGATTGGAGTGTGATTGTAACCCATAAAACACGGAGAGATTAAAAGTTAATAGCACGACTTTCGGTAAGCACGTCAAGCTATTTTCTACCCAATTTGTTATCTAGGAACATACATATGAAACCACCTACGACCGTAGAGAATACAAGAATCATCACCGTTAAGATTGGTTTTACGGGAATCCTGCTTTTTATCAAAATTATTTCCGTACGAGAGCTCAGTGCGCTGTGTTCACTCACGTAGGACACATAGACACCAATTATTATGAAAGATTTCTTTAAATTACCTGTAATAAAATTGAGAAAGATTCGAGAATCATATCGATACAGATAAGGACCCATTATACTGACCAAGAATATGCGAACAGTAACTTCAAAATTGTACGTGGACGTAGTTGAAAGTATAAACTTTCAAGTATGTACGCATAGAATGCAAATTAATTATGTAAAAAAGCAAAATTGATTGAAAAATCATCACTTTCATTCAGACACTTCGCAAAATTGTTAAAAAGGAGCTCCATTAAAAGTTGTATGTGAAGGTTCTTGGGATATTTTCAACTTTTTACAACAATTATAAAAGTTTATTAATTTTTCGTACTCGATTTATAAAAAGTTTTATCACTTACAAAACTGATAAATTTTCTTGAAAAAATATAGAAAAATATACAATGATTCACAACAAATTACAGTAATATTATACAGTAATAAACTTACAGTATATACAGTAATAAACTTACTTTTCGAAAACAATTACGAGTAAAAAATGCTTTGTTCCATTTTGTTGAAAATTATATCTATTATTTACTTGAAATGAAAAAAATATTCGCAATGATTACATAAATTAGGTTTTCATTTTATGTATAAATTACAATCCTAATTGACTGTCACAGTAATAATACATTAATTCAATATTACATACATTCATATAATATATTTTAAATATAAAACATTTAATATGTATTGAAATACTTCTTTTTACTAATAAATATCGTTTAAACCTTACATGTACTTTGTTCGATTATTCTACTGTAACTAATCAAAAAATTATATTGTTGGGAATTTTATGCTTACACACTGTAATTAATTTACAGCACAAAGATAGTATTGGTTGTTTAATATTTGTTATCTATAATCTATAATCTAATATAAAAAATAATATAATCTAATAATATAATATAAAAATACATATAGTCTTCATCAGGAAAAGTTTGAAACATCAAAGTTTCATCAACAATATTATGCAACTATCCTTCAAATAAATGTTTACTACATTAAAAGCTAATTGAAATAAAAACCATATATAACCAGTCTTATTATCTCAGTCCCTGTTAGCTTATATTTATTAACTTTTACATCAGCTTTTTACATATACTTAGTCAACTTTTTGTTTATTTTACAACTTATCTGTCGCTTCTAACCTCGAATCGCTCTTAAACCTTCATTATTTGCAGACGTAGACTAAAGCTTCTGCTTTTCTAATTTGTTTGTTGAAGAATGATGCTCTAAAATTAATCATCATATTTATATTTTTAATAAATATTGTATCACATGACTATAAAATTGCCCTCCGAAATCAAAGCCAATATTTCCTTGAATAAAATTCTCATTTGCAATTACCATCCTTTAAATTCATATTAATTAGGAAATCAACAATATATTTATCTTTTTCTATAAAATGTTCAGTAAATTGCGACACATAAAATTTCAGCAAATTTGTAGACAATTGACCAAAATTCCTATTTTCTAAATCTACTGCATACAATAAAAATCGTCGAGATGTGAGAGGTAGATTTTCTTTAAGTAAGACTTGTCTTGCAATGATCATTAAATCTTTCAGTTTGTTGTGACAAACGGTATTGAGGACTTGTCCATGTTCAATAAGCTGAAAACATAATATCATAATAATTAAACCATTAAACAGAAATATAAAATTAAAGGATAAAATATTAAAACAATAGACTTTAAATACATGTTCTGTAAAAAATTGGATATCATCCGGTGAAGCTGTTTTTAGCAGCATTTCCAAATAATCTATAAATGCAGAATAAAATGTACGATACATGCACGTCGATGATTGTCAAATATAACTCAAGTATTTAGAAAACAAGATAACACGGTTATAAAATTGAGCTGCATTTTCTTGCTTCAAATTTTTCCTCCCTAAAAATTAAAAGTGACAGTAGGAAGCATATAATTTAACCTTTACAAGCTTTTAATTCAATATATGCATAGTGATACCTACTTTCATAATCTTCCTGATGTTGGTTCACTAAATATTTGTATAAAGTTGCACCTTTGGAATCACATATATTTCTAATTTTAGAATTATCGCATACAAGGAATAATTTCATCGCAAAGTCAGTATTGTCTAGTGCATATGAGTAAAGTTTATTGAATATCTCCCTGTAACCAGTTAAAATCAATTAAAGTGATCAAGTAACATAAATTACTTAAAATAAATACTTTGCAGATATATATATATATATATATATATATATATATATATATAAAACAAAACATTCTATTTTGCAATATTACTTTAGGTTTTCCTTATTCTCATTAATCCATTTCGCAATATCTTTAATTATTTGTGTTAAGTTTTCATTATTCACAAGTTTTATGTCTCTTAAAGACCATTAAGGTCTCTTTACATGCTCAACTTCAATGAAAACGGTCTTTATCCTAAAAAGATTAACAATATTGGTTTTTATTTAAACATACAAGTATCAAAAGCATGATTTGTATATTTTTTTCTACAGTACTTATTGATATAAAGAAATTGCTAAGAATCAAATTATAGAGTTTCTAGATTTTCATAAGACTTTAAAGTACAAGGTATTTTGGTGTAATAGGCATATAAAATTGTAATTTTTTATTTTAAAATTACAAAATGATTTACTAATTTATAAAAATATAAAATATATAATGTAAAAAGATATAATAGCCAAAAAGAATATTATTTTTTGTTACATAATAATAAAATTAAATGTTTGCAAAAGATTATTGTATACATTTTTAATTGTTGATTTCTTATGGGAATTTTAAAAGTTTGTATTATATTTAAGACAATAGTTGTATATGAAACATGGTATCCATTCATATATTTGTATTTGTATTTATTGGATTTGTATTTTTTGGATATTTATACATTGTATAATCCTATAATCCTATTCTAATAACTACATAAAATATTAGTACAAATTCATACACATATGAATGGTTTCATTATGTGTATATAAAATATGTGGTATATCTGTATAGAAATGAACACTTATATACACTTATCTTTGCAAAAAGATAAACAGAAATGTATTTAGTTTTAATTTACTCTTATATTGTAAAATAGCTTTATTCCATGTTAGTGATACATTTTTCTAGCAATTTTATAGCTTCATTTTTCTAACAATTCTTATATTGTAAAATAGCTTTATTCCATGTTAGTGATACATTTTTCTAACAATTTTATAGCAATAAATGTTTTATGTATTTACTAACAAAATTTATTACATATACTACAAACATATATTTTTATGTTTCCATTTGCAAATAATTATATATAATATATTCATACAACAATCCACTATTAATTTATTATTATCGTACACTTTGCTATAATTCTAGTTATAGTAGTAAATACATGTGTTTTAGCATTGATGTTTGTAGCATCTACAGATTAATATACTTAAAGGTAAACAAAACCATTTCAAGAAATATTCATATACAAATATTTATTTTGTTTGCAATTGATAAGAAATACATATATGAAAAAAGGGAAATTCTTATTAATTAAAGATAGATGAGAACTAACATCTAAATCTGAAATTATCATGCACATTACAAATAAATAATTTATTTTATGTAAATTATTTAAACAATTTGTTTTATGGCAATTTACCTCTATAGTGAAAATTTATTATTAGGTGATGAACTTTACTGTAGCAGACAAAATATTATTGCCTTCCTTCTGGATCTTTTACTTTCCAATGTGTTGAATCCAAAAATCTAAGTTTTTAAGACGATTCACTGGTTCTAAAGTTATGCAAAGTTAAGTGCAAGTAAGGACTTTTAGGATATTTTACACGTTACTTTGATGTCACCACGTTGGAAAATCACATACACCCTACCTTCGTGACATCCCAAAGACAATTGGTACATTGGTGGTGGTCTGGTGGTGACGATTGGCGGTGGCAAACAGTGAAAAGGAAGGGGTTAAACTTTGGTCGACGATCATTTAACGCGCATGCGCCATCATGCGTATATGATCACCGGACGATCGCCAGTCATCAATCGGTGATCTGTCATTCGTTGTATGTCTCGTTTTTAACTTAATTGTCCATTTAGTTTAGAGAACATCAAGTTAGTTTTTTAACTTGTTACATCGAAAACAAATACTTTGAGTCATTGAAAGGTGGTCAATAATTAAAAAAAAAAAATAAGGTTATAACAAAGTGAGTGTGAATATCTATCCGTTCAAAGACTGCGGATCTTGCCATGACGACGGAAGAACAGTTTCAGGCGGCTGTTAATGTGATCAGGAATTTACCAAAGAATGGTAAATTTTCTAAGACATTCAAAATGAATTATGATAATTAATGTCATTCTTCGAGTTGTCGATGCTTTTAAATGATGCACTTAATCGTATCATCGTCTCTACATCATTGTTTTATTATATTTAATGCAAAGCATTTTATGACATTGATATGAAACTTGTTATGTTATACTTTTTTTTCTTTCTCAGCATTTTTTTCAGTTGTACGAAACTTGTTAAACTGGTTTTTTTAATTAGCAGCAAATACATTTACGAAATTTAGTTTTTATGCGAAAACGTGAAGGAGTAGTACAAAGTTCGTGCAGTCATGTAAAGTATTTACATATCTATTTCGTTGAGACTGAAAACGAAAACATTGTTTCATACCGTTCTTCAATGTATTCAGATTATTAATAATGTTCTAACATATTAAATTTCAGAATTATTGAAGTGTGTTCTCGTTAATTTTATACTCCTGAGTATTTATAATTAGATACAAAATAGAATAATAATAAGCGTTTTTTATTTGTATGTGATTTACATTATATAACAAACAGTATGTTTACATTTATTTACTGGTAAAAATTGCATTAAGTACGTCACATAAATTTTTATAATTGTTAAAAGAATAAATTTGAATCTTTTTTTCGCACATAATTTATAAATATAACCTTTGTAAAAAAAAAATTTTCTTTGCTTTTATGCAAGTAAAAAATTAGATTTTGATATTATTTTGAACGTACACTTTTATCACTAAATTATAAATCTTTATGATTAAATTCATAAATATGTATACATACTTTCCATTTATTACAAGTGCATGTGTGAGTGTTCTCATTTCACTTTCTAACAGAGTAGAATGGATAAATTGCAGTTTATGTTTGAAACTGGAATATCCTTCATGAATAAATTACAAATAAAATTTATAATTGTCCAAAACTGTATCATCAACTTTTTTCATTTATTAATGACATAAATTTTATGTTAAAAAAGTAATAAATATTTATTTAAAAAATTAAGTATTTAATCCTTTATTAATTGAACTTAATAATGTTTAATGTTACAAGAATTTATTTAATATCTCTGTATTTTTTTATGATCAATGACAATTAATTCATGAATACATTTGCACATTGTCTCTTAATTTTTTGACCAAAAGTCATACAATAAAAATGTTATCAAGTCATTGACCTTGCAATTAATTTCAATAACAATGAAGAAACAAACTTTTTGCGTTAAATGCAGAAAATATGAATATTATAATGAAATATATATGAAATATATATGAATATATATGAATATTATAATGAAATATATGAAACTAAAATTATAGACTAATAAAGTTATATTAATAATCATATTGTTAATAATATATTATGTTTCAGGTGCATATCAACCTAGCAATGAAGTTATGCTACGTTTTTATGCATATTACAAACAAGCAACAGAAGGATCATGTCAACAACCAAAACCAGCATTCTGGGAAGTGGTTAAAAAAGCAAAATGGGAAGCTTGGACACGCTTGGGTAATATGAGTAGAACAGAAGCTATGAATAACTATGTAGAAGAATTAAAAAAGGTTGATTGTAGAAACTATTATAATTTTATTCAATGTCATGAAGTAACAGTAATTTAATACTTATTTATAATTTAATAGATTGTAGAAACAATGTCTTATACAGACAAAGTGGCTAATTTTCTAGACAGTTTAGATTCATTTTGCGAAAGTGTCCCACCTGAAGATTTAGAATTACTTCTTGGTCCTGTGTTAGAACGTATGCGCTCACAACCTGGAATGCCATTATCCGGTTCTCCCCTAGGTTTGTATTTGTAAATATATATTTTATTTTTCATTTGTTGATCTGATAATTTATTAACAATGAACATATTCAATGCTAACAATCAAAGAATGGAGAAATTTAAAACAAATTAATTCTATTAATAAGTTTTTCTTATACAGCATCAAGAGAAACATCACCACATAGAGGTTGTAACATGACTCGGCACATTGCAAGTAGTTTAGAAACCAGCCCAGCTACTAGCCATAGTGCAAGTCCACTAGATACCGACGGCGAAGACGAGTTTATAGATACTGTCGAAGTAAGCTACTGGTATTATAAACAGTACACAGTATTGGACATACTTTTATTTCCAACTTATAACTGAAATTGTTTCTTCTTATTCATAGTCAGCTCCGGAACGAATACCAAAAGACATAACAAAAACCACTAATGTTACTCAAAAAATGGTTAATGGTTTAAATGTTTCTACTGATAAAGTTAATGAGTTAGTTGCTCAAAGAGAGAACTCTTCAGAATTAATTAATGGATACACTAATACAAATGGCTATACAGAACCACTAACAGAAAATAAGCAAGAAAAAAGTAAACAACGTGTTAAAAAAGATGAAAAATCTAACGACGAATTTTTCAATCAAATAGCTATAACTATGCAAAACTTACAAAGGGATTTAGATAGAATAACAGCCAGAGTGCGCAGTTTAGAAGGTCAAACATTACAGGCATTGGCGCCTTCAATAGTATGTGTAAATACAATAAAACGACATTTTTATCATATTTCTATTTCTTTCAATGGTATATCATTTTTGTAGAAGCAGCCTGCAGCAACTTCATACCCAAAATGGTGGCCTTTACCAGAGTGTTCACCGCGATTATTCACTATCTTAATCGTATGGCCGTTCATAGCGCAATTTTTGATTTCTTTAACACAACGTTATCGTCAGCGAAGGCTGTGATTTAAACATTACCATATTACATCACTCGAAATATATTCCACTATTTACTGTTAGATGATGAATTCAAATCAGTGTTGGATTCAAGTAATATAGACATTTTTTAAGACAGTTCAAGTATATTTCTACAATCTAAATATGTATATGGCCAAAACTGCTATGTGATTCTTGATTCATACAGATTACATTTGAAGACGTAATCAGTTGGGCAAAACTTTAAAAATTTATTCTATCAACTGTTCACACATAAATGTATGTACAGTGATTATACAGAAAAGTTTGTTTATTTTAAACATGAGAGAATTGAAGAGAGTTTGATTGCTCTCTGTATGTTTATATGTTAAAAATCAATGGATTAACTGAATATACATATTATATATAATATATGAATGTATATTATATATATTTACTTAAGATAATTTATATGTATTATAAATAATAATGTGTATTCATATATTGTAATATAGAAAAAAAGATTATATACAAATTTTATATTGTACATTCAGATTAAAAGCAAGAAAAAGATAGAATTTATTGAAACTTACAGCTTTTTTAACAGAAATTATAATTTACTTAGGATAGTATCACTTTCTAAATAATATTATAAAGTACTCTTTTCGCTTTTTTTAGTTAATTTTAAATTGAGAACAGATATATCACGAAATCGTGTACAAATATTGTATAAAAATGTATAATTTTTACTTGTATTTGTAATAATTATTATGTGTAATTATTTTTTACAAATATTTTATTAACCAATGCAATTATTATAATAACAATTGTCTTTTTGTAATATTTTTCATTTTGTACAATTTTAGTAAAACAAGTAAGGTACTATAACCCGTATTTTACAATTTTTCAACTGTACCTAATTCATTGATCTAAAATAAATTTTGTTAAAAAAAGATTTTTTGTCTCGGACAGTATACCTTTGTAGATTATAATTCTTAAATAAGTTTGTCTTTTAAAGTAAAACGTTATATAAAATTTTAGTTTGGAATGAGTATATTATAACAGATAATGGTTAATACAAATTGCTTGTAATTACTTTATGTTTCGATTATATAACTTTCTTTCAAAATATCGGGAGATAAAGCATAATTAATGAGTATTCGTAATTACAAATTATCTTGTTCAATTGTTGTTTTATTCAATTTTCATCGTTACGTCATTAGAATTTTGTTTCATGCTTTACATGTCAAAAATATAAAATTTTGATGGGCATCGATATCTTAAGTGAGTAAAATGAAATAGAATAAGTTTAAACATTCTCTAATATGAGTACCACTGTATAAATAACCTTGTTCTTATTTCAATATAATGCGAACAAAGAATGGTTGGGTTAGGAACCGATATTGGTAGCAACGATAAATCACTTACTTTGCATTTTATATATGTTTTATACTCATACAACTTCTGACGAAAGTAACGTATGAGTCGTAATAACAGACATTGGAACATTTAGAGTTTAGAGTATTCCACAGGTTGCAGTAATCAATAGATTGTTGTCTTATTCAATTTTCTACGTGAAGCCTCTTATTAGAGGCTCGAAAGTGTGAATCATTCAAATTGAAAATATGAAAAGGAATATGTCTGTTTCAATAATTCTGGCTCTTTTTGTTATGGATTTGTCACATGCTCAAAATACAGATTTTGGAACTATTGTTTTCGCAAATGTTGTAAGTTAAAGTATGTTTTTTCAAAAAATTAAAATAATGTTTATATTTTATATTTTGATTATTCGTATTATTGAAATGTATTTATTATGAAGTTAATTTATTATTTATGTATATGAAATTTATTTTCTTCATAAAGCAATATGAATTAGATATTATAACCATCTTAATTATAATAATAATCATTGTCGTTGTTTATTAAAAATAATTACAATCTATTTTACAGTTATACAGACATGGAGATAGAACACCTATAAGACCATATCCGAATGATCCTTATAACAATGAAAGTTTGTGGCAAGTCCCATATGGCCAATTAACAAATGTATGTAATTCTTAATTGTCATATATATAGCTTAATTATTTAATAATCTTTTCTTTATTGTATTACTTTTGTTGCATTTAATGTTGTTGCAAATTTTTGTTTGATTTTAAAATCTTTTTAATTTCAAAATATTTAAGTCCTCACTCATATATGTCTGTTACATCAGATTGGAAAATATCAGCATTTACTACTTGGTCGTTGGATCCGCAAACGCTATTCACATCTACTAAGTGACCTATATTCTCCACATGATATTTATATTCAAAGTACAGATGTAGATCGTACCTTAATGTCAGCTGAATCACATCTTGCTGGACTTTATCCTCCAGTTGGTAAACAAATATGGAGTAATATCAAATGGATGCCTATTCCAGTGCATACTATTCCTGAAGACAAAGATAATGTTTTGGCTGCAAGAAAATATTGTTCTAGATATGATTACGAGTTGGAAAAAGTTCTTAATTCTCCAGAAATCCAAAAAATTAATAAAGAAAATAAGAGATTGTATGTATACCTTACAGGGAAAACAGGAAATAAAATTTCATCTCTTTTATCTGTTAAACAACTTTATGATACATTATTTATTGAGGTAAACTATGTTACTGTCATTTTGTACTTCTCACTTGATAATAAGTATTTGTATATATCTCATATACTCTAAACTTATTACAGAGTCTTTACAACAAAACATTGCCAGAATGGACAAAGTCAGTATATCCAGATAAACTTATGCCAATTGTCGTAAAAAGTTTTACAATTAACGCCTATAATAAAATACTTCAGAGACTAAAATCGGGTAAGTAATATTCATTTTGTTATGTAAAAAATTTAGACCATGTATAATTTGGGAAATATAAAACATAGGAACATTACTTGGAGAAATGATAGACCACATGGAAAAAAAATCGAAAAATGCCTTAGTACCTGATAGAAAAGTATGGATGTATAGTGCTCATGATGAAACTATAGCCAATATGCTAATGACTCTGAATGTTTTTGAACCACATTGCCCACCATATACTGCTACAATTTTAATAGAATTAAGAGTAAATTTAAAAGATCAGTATTTTGTAACGGTAAGTGCTTAAAATAATAATTAGACTGGAAATCATGATATAAGATTGTTGGTTAAATATATTGTTCTAGATATCATATAAAAATACTAGTGAAGAACCACAACTTTTAACACTTCCTGGTTGTATTACAATGTGTCCCTTAAATCAATTTATTGCACTAACAAAAGATGTTATACCCATAGATTGGGAAAAAGAATGTGCAATAGAGTGTGAACAACTTGGATATAATATGAATACGACAGCAATTATTGGTAAATTTCTACTACAATATAAATGTATTTTTTATACACTAAAGTAAGGATTACTTTCTCATTTAATCCTTGTTTTGTTTCAGCAATACTGACATCTTCTATATTGATGTTAGTTTTATTAATTTTATCTATAGTTGTCTTTATTTATTGGCATTATAAACGGGAACATAATCAGTATTATCTTCGATTGACAACGGAACCTATATAATTGAATATAATACTATGAAAAAATGACGTATTGCTTTCGTCGTGATATTCAATGTTTTCATAATTTGATAATTAACAAAAAATAAGATAAATGGTAAATTCTTATTTGATTTTACATACATTAAGGATTCAATTATCGATACGAAAAATAAGTCTGATACGCGTTTGCAAAAAATATTTATGAAAAAATGTTCTATATTTTATAATGTTTTATTAGTGATAATTTTTAAATTTATTGATGATAAAATATTTCAGTTTATAATCAAACAGATTCAATATTGAATTATAATCAAATCAACGAGAATCGTTTGATTTGACCGATAAAAAAATTATTATTTATATGCATGAATTGTTGAAAACAAGGACTGTTATAATGATTTTTAATAGTTTGATAAAAGGGTATAAGATTCTCAATAACTTTTATTTAAATTGAGTTTCATGCATAATATGAATAAAAAAATTATCTGTGATGACCGTAAATAGACTACGAATTAATTCGGAAAAAATTGAGATATTAAAAATACTTTTTATTAATAAATGACGATTAGAAAGTAATAAATTCTGGAATACGGTTTATTAACTCAGGGTATCTTAGTGTTTATTTGATACTAAACAATTGGGTGTAAAATATAGGGATAATATTTATCTGCGGTATTTGAAAGAATATCTAGTCATACTCCATTAAGTTGCAACAATTAAAACATTACACTTCTAAACAGAAAAAGTATATTCAACTACATCGTTACTACATTTTTGTAATATCATTTATATAGATGTATATTTGAAATGTATTTTCTAATGAGAAATTACAAGACAAACTAAATTTTTCCAAAATAGAGGAAGGATAATATTTAAGGCGGAAAAGAAACATTTTACTTGATAGTAATCCAAAAATTTGATTTTCTTAAACTGAACTATTTTACAAATATGAATTGTATCCTATTAAAATTATTTTTGTGAGATTTAAACATGAATAAATCAAGTATTGTAAAAAAACACGATTATTTACTGGTATTTTAAACGAATACATATCTTCCTCTAGATAATTTGTAGGTCATAACATGAAATATAAGAATATCTCATACTTGCTTCTACATAGAGTGTGTTGTCCGTCCTCAACAGCGGATGTTCAACAACTGATTCTCGTATCGATGTCGTATACGTGTTAAGTATTAAACACATACAATCGCAAAACACACATATAAATGACTGTCCTTAAATAGTAGTACAAATACACATATAATATGAACAGCATCAGTGGACTTTACATATTTACATATTTTAATCATCAGTTTACCATTTTTATTAATTCTCTTTTTTAGATACCATAATCCCTATAGTTTACATATCATTTACATATTAAAATTTTTAATTTTTATTATATTTTGTACAAGCCTCTTTTATATACAATATACAGGGTGGTTGGTAACTGGTGGTACAAGCGGAAAGGGGGTGATTCTACGCGAAAAAAGAAGTCGAAAATATAGAATAAAAATTTTTCGTTTGAGGCTTTGTTTTCGAGAAAATCGACTTTGAATTTTCGCTCAGTACGCGTGCACTTTATCACGTCTCATTATAACGGATCTCACTGTAGATCGTTCTCCTGATGAAAAAATTTAGAAAAAAAAAATAAAAAAAAATTTTTATTCTATATTTTCGACTTCTTCTTTCGCGTAGAATCACCCCTTTACCGCTTGTACCGCCAGTTACCAACCACCCTGTATATGACTTTAATTTATTTAATACAATTATATATATATACAAATACACGATCATCACTTATTTTTCTATCATTAACGCACTTTGCTTATTTTACATGTTAAAGCCCTAATTTTAGAAAACAATTTGGTGAGTATATTTTATAGGAAGTTATCATTTTCAATTCTATAAAATCTTAAAATCTATGATGCTAACTCTATGAGAATGCAACCCATGAGTATTAAATACTATTTACCACGTTTTATTTGTCATATCAGTATTCCGGTATCGAGTTAAAGCTTCCAGACCAATTTTCTTGGATGTTAAATGCTGGATTAGACCTAAAACATCACATAGTTTTATGTATTTAATAAAAAAAGTCAACAAACTAACTTCAAAATTTTACTTAATTGAAATAAAAACTTATAAAAATTTCTTACCTTCTATTAAGAAATTTTGAAAATCTTACTATTATAAGCTCGCACTTGCATTGGTTAAAAATGCGCATGCAAAGATAAGTTAATCATTCACGTGATAAAACGGATTATTAACAGAATTACAACAAATACGATTACAATGATAGTGTAAAACCCTGAATATAAAAGTATTTGAAAGAAGTCTTCTATATTGTCATATTTATTCTATTTTTAACTTCTACCCTGGTTATAAAAACTTTGTATATTAAAAAAATAGATCTAATATAAAGTACATACCATGTATAAAGTTGGAGACAGATGAAGACGCAACTTTTGAAATATGGTTTTAAGTAGTTAGATGCAGATTCATGATGTAAACTCGATTATGGTCTTAATGATGTTTCTGACGTATTGAAGAAACTATGAATGTAAAAAGGAATAATTTTCGAGATCTTAACTATATGTAATACATTGAATATTTAGAAGATTGTGATGAATATAAGAAAAGTACGTTTTGTGCAAATATTAAAACAAATTTTTCCTTCTTCTGGCAATGAGATACAAATTGATTTCATATTTGATATATCAAAAATGTAAAAAATGTATATAAATATCCTGTTAAAAAATACGAAGTGATGCAATAAAAACACACAAGCACACAATTTGCGTTACATGTTTGTTAGTATTTATTACAAAATGTATACAATGTTAATAAAGCATACGTGTCTGCAAATAAAACGTTTTCTGTTCAGTGTGTAACCATAACCATAATTTCATAATCTTATCTTAAAATTGAACAATATGATTAATTTCATGTAGCAATTAGTTACAGATAACATTACATAAACGTATTAAAGTTTCAAATATACTATATTGAACAGATTTTGTGGCCTAATGTTTGTTACTTTGATAAACTTTATGACTATTATGATGTACTAATGAGCAAACTATTCTTAAGCATGAGAGCAATTCATGATATACATGCAAATTATTATAATCCATTAAAAACACGAAAGATTAAAATATCATATTATGAATATTACCTGGATCTTTTTACTATTTAAATGCGCATTATATCAACTAACAATTATTTTCACAATTTTTATAAAAATAATTTATTAGTACATTTATTGTTATTTACTATATATTTCGGCACAAAATGCGTACTTTGTTATATTACTTTGCTAATTAAAATATACGTAAATCATATAAATGAAAATAGCAATTTTTTTCATATTTAGGTAGTAAGTATTACAAAACAATTAACTGACAAAATCTTGTTATACATAAAATCTATACAATTCTTACCTTGCATATATTGCAGGGTTTGATAATCCAAGTGTTGTACTTACAGGACTTCCAATATATCTCTTTACGAACTGTAACAAAAGTTAATAATAAAATGATCGATAATAGTTAAGAATCAATCACCCTACTTAATAGCGTACATACCCAATGGTCACCAAGAGAAGTCGCACCCATACTCACAGCCATATGAATAGTCAAATAAAGGCAAAATAGAAGATATAAAATAGAATATATTGTAATTGCAACTATTACCGCCCAGTGATGTGGCAAATCATCTTGGACAGTATTTATTACAAAATATATATTTATAGCTATTACAACAGCGGATAATGCTGTCGCAACAATTTTATTAGTTCTGAAATATAAAAGTATGTATAAAGTCGTATAAACTTAAAAAATTTCAACTGTAAAATTAAAGACATGAAACATACAATCCGTTTCGAAATGTACCCATAATTTTAGGACTACTAGTAAATGCTATCGTTGGCAGGGTTGCAAAAGGTAACTGAAGAGTCATAATTGCGTTCAAAATATCATTCATGCCAGTTAAATTATCAATGTCACTAAAAAATGCGACAAGGAAGGTTGGAATGATAGCGATCATTCGCGTAAAAAGTACTCGCTTCCAACGAGCCCACTGAAGATTTAAAAATCCTTCCATTGCAAATTGTCCGGCATACGTTCCTGTCATCGTGGAAGATTGGCCAGCAGCAAAAATACCGACAGCCCAAATATACATTGCTGCCGCACCAAAGGCACAGCCCAAAAATATGCCACCTTTGTTAAGGTCTACTGAGATGGTTGTATTCTCTTTCTGTAATTAATGAAATAAGATATAATAAAAAAGCTAAAATTTTTAGGTAAACAAATTCGTATTAATCTAATTTGGTTTTTACCTTAAATGTATCCATTCCTACAGTATAATTGTTAGCTTCACACAGATTGTACTAAAATATAAAGGAACGAGTATGAAATATATTGTATAAGATAATTACATTACAAAATATCATTTAGAATTCTTAATTACTATACTCACAACTTCTAAACTAGTCTTGTTAAAAAGACCATGCGCAAACACTGCGACAACAAATACGTTAATTATAAAAGATACCAGAAGTGCAATGCATGCCTCAATGAAGTAATACATATTTGCCTCATTCACTTTTTTGGATTCTTTACGGTCAATGTCTCTTGACTAGAAATTATAGATTATATTATAGTATTTATTTAACACCTGGCAAATATTTAATACATCAGAATGCCTACTTCTTCAATTTCATAAAAAAGATTACTTATACTCTTTGTTCTTTCCTTACTTTAACAAGAGCACTGTGAAGATATAAGTTATGTGGCATGATAACTGCACCAACAATTCCTACAGCTTGTAACAACATATTTCTGTCATAATCTTTATACCAAGGTATAAACATTCCACTTATCACTTCATTTTGAGGTGGGGCAGAAACAACGTACTAAAATATAGAAATAATAAAATCATTTTCATTCACATATACACACACATATATGTATTTATTTATTTATTTTACCTCATATCCAAATGTGACAGCCATTATTGTAATAAGAAATCCAAAAAAGAGTTCTAATTTCCTTAAGCCATATTTGTCCAATAATAAAAACGTAAAAGTGTCAATTATCGTAATAAGAACACCACCCCATATAGGAATCCTAAATCAAATTAGATACATACATTATTTATGAATAACAGCTTACATAAAAGGAACAAGAATAGATGACATCAAGAAATTAAAAGAATTTCATAACTTACACTTTATTTGTTAATAAAGATAAAGCAATAGCTGTTCCTATTACTTCTTGCATGTCACTGCCAATTATGGCTATTTCTATCATTATCCATAAAATCATCCTGGGTACTTTTTTATATTGTCTGTAACACATTTCTGCTAAATGCAAACCTGTTACCACACCAAGCCTTGCACTTAATCTTTGCATAATAAGACCAAGAATGGTTGCACTTAACAATACCCATAATAACTAACAAAAAAGAGCATAAATAAATTTAAAAAATAAAAAGAAATGAAAACCATACATGGAAAGTTAAATAAGCAATGAATGGAATAACTTAAAAAATACCTTATATTTGGCAGCTACGCCAGATTGCAAATCAGATTCAATATTTCCAGGATCTAAATAAGCTATGGACATTAAGAATCCAGGACCTGTGAAAGCCCATAATTTTCTAAAACTAAAGAAACCCTGTGGAAACCAAATTAGAAATGATACAGTTAAAAATCCATATATTAACGTAAAAAATTAATTTAAGCTCCATTGGTACTAATATATACTACATTTTCTGTTTCTGGTATATGAACTTTTTCATCAGCAAAGTACGTCTGATTGTTATTAGGTGCCAAACAGGTATTTTCATTTGCTCTCTTATTATTTTGATTTTCCTCCTGATGCACATAAGATGCTGTTGCAAATGTTGAATCATTCTGAGGCTCGATAATGTAACTATTCTGCATGGTATATTGATAAGATCCCTCTGAAAAAAGTTACTAGTTTGTTACATATTTTAACATTATTTGAGATACCAATTTAAACATATTTATATATTTAAACATATATTTAAAAGTATTCAATATTATAGTATTATTACAATATTGCGATATTATTTCACAAAAATAGTATTAAAATAAACCGGATTATATAAAAATTAATTTCAATGACCGTCTAAATTGAATAATTTAATTACCGTGATGATCAATGCAATAAAAGATTGAAATAGTGTCTTATTGAATGCGATACGTATTCAAACTTCATCAAATACGAATGAAATATTTTAATAAAATATGTGAAATACAGAAATACAGGAATTAAGTATAACATACGACAAATTAATGAAATATAAAAATAAACATAAATCTTTTTTATCACTACCGACAAAATATTTGGATAAATATAAAAATAAATAGAACGTCACATTCCTATAAAATTAAAAAAAAAAAGAAAGTACGCTTCCGTATAACTAAAATAGAAACATAACTGAAGTAAAAACGCACATTACACAGTACACCAAGCACGTAAATGTTAGCCAAGTGAGATCACGACAATAGCCACTAGTGATCACTATTCACCGACAGCCTGACAGTCACTAACTATTGCGAGATTTGAGAATATTGCGGCAACAACCAGACAAATGAACGAGAGTAACAAGAACGAAACATACAACATACAGCCATCTTTCTTACATGTTCCCCTTCTTTGCATAAAATATTACAAATATGATGTTAGCGGGGATGCCCAAAACATCAGTGTCAGTGACTAACAATAGGAATACATATATGTATGCGCAGAGAATTTATTACTGCCACAGTACAAAGAAATACATGCAATTGTATAAAATTGTAGGATTTCCCCAGGAGATGTATCATAACAGTTGATTATTATAACCCTTACATGACATCTTTCGTTATCATTAATATGTAATGAGTATTTAAGCAATTCCGAGCTTCTATGAATTCGTATTTACGCCATTAAAGTCATTCATTTTCTCGATACTTCCTTCATCTTTTCACTCTATCTTCATTTACTATATGTAGTCTTCCTATCTTTAAGAAGTACTTGAATTTGAGCGATCACTTGAGGAAAAAGATAAAATTTGGATTATGAAGGTTTCCTCTTATCAAAGTTTTAACAAACAAAAATTAAAAATTTTGTATATGGGTTAATATTTTTCAAATTGTAGAGGCTCGAAGAACTCGAAGAAACAGTTTCTATTCTTTCGATTATGAACTGGAGAAGAATGTCTTTTATCACTTGCTTTATTCGACTAAGATTTAAATTCAGTTTTTAAATCAGCTAAGTGACTATATCAATCACAGATGACTTTAATTCTTTAATCAACCTTATTGAGGAGTGCTTATTGCATCTAATTATATTATTACAGTAAATCTTTATTGGATTAATTTGATAATTGTTAAATCAAATCGAAAGCATTTGTTGGGAAGGAAGTCTATAAGATTGGATAGAGATTGAATCTGTTAAATTAAATTATGGTTGTAATAAATTCATCATTCTAGTAAGTAAAACATTTGGTAACCGAGATGTATACATTGTATACATTGATGTATATTATACTCAAGAATTCTCTATGATGTATTTGTTAAAATGATAGGGCATCAAAACACGTACCTATTGTAATCATAGCTTAGTTTCAATTTATTTCATCGCTTCTCTGATAAGACAAGATGAAAACATTCTTTTGCATTGGGGATTTGATTAGGATCTAAATTCTTTTGGTAAATCTTTATCGATTACAATAGGTACTAATCTACGATAATGTGGATCTATATTGATTCCAAAAAGTATTCATTGTATAAAATATTAATAAATGTACAATTATTACCATTGTTTGGAGTGATATTTATTATAGCATTCAATTACTAATTAATTAAATTCAAGAATATTAAATATGTCATTTAGTAGTACTTTCAACCAACCAAGTTTTATTTTTAAGGCCGTTGGGCCGACAAAATAAAATAATAATAATAATACTTTTATATGAATACAAAAATTTGATATTATAAAAATGAAACATAAAACCTGACCAAAATTGCCTGGAAAATCTAGCTATCTGCGAATATTTTTCGTAGCCATTATAAGTAAATAAATTGACGACAAAGATCGAAAAATGAAAATTGTTTTCTTCGAAAAAGAAGAAAATCCTGGTTAAGTGCTATGATTAGTGTATATTAACTTTTTTAATTGATAATCTAACAAAAACAATGTCATTTATATGTTCCTGTAACTTCTCACGTAACTTGATATCGAAATTTAATTAAGCACGATTAGATAAGCTAAGAGTTTCTTGCTCGCTCCCAGAACGCGTTTCTTTTAATGTGAAAATCGGTGGGCGAAAACATTTCTTTAAACAATCGTATTTTTTAATGATATCCAAATTTCGCAAGAATGTGAGATATTAACATTACATAAGATTGTTATATGTAAGATTGGCTGCGGCATATATTGAGGACACTTCAATCCAAATATTTAACTTGGAATATCAAGCAAATGTTTGTGTTAGATATCAGAAGGCGGTCAATCAGTAGAAACCAAGAATTATATGATATATACGTATAAGCCCACTTAATGAAGTACCTTACCGAATTGTAATTTCTCGATTGTCAAGTAGTTACGTATAAAAATGATGAAGGTCTTTTAATGAATAAATTCAGTATACATTTTCGATCGTATTTCCTATTTACTAAAATAAGAATAGCCGTAGACAACGAGCAACGCATAAATTATCGGAAACAATCCATCAATATTTCCTATTCCTACGTGAATCACCGTGGTAAACCCAACGAACAAGGAAAATTTAATATCAACGAATAGAAAAGTTTTGCTTTATTTATATTTTCTGATCCTACGTAATTTCATATTACGATTAACTGCAATATTATCTGTCCTATTAGATAGGAAATTACTATAGTAAATATTATTTCGATTGAGCAACGCGGTAAATCCGTTTTGAAATAAATGTTTGATATCTCTATACATATAAATGTAGATCACTTCCTTTGGTAAAATTAGAATAATTTCTTACAAGAATTCTGATTTCTAAATTCTTCTTTTTTTCTTTCTTTTAACGTTTTTTAACTTGACAATTCTTTTTTCTTTTCCCTCTTAAAGTTTTCTAACTTGATTAACGTCACTGGTACACGATGAACATTTTCTAACAGTTACTGCTGTAATTATCTAACACTTGTAACCTATAATTAACTCTTTTGACTACTCATCAAGTCACCACAAAAGTCCTAGCAATTGTGAATTCGCAATTCTGATTTGTTTTAATTAAAATAATAACAAATGATAAACATATAAGAGATTCTACGAAAATTTCAATAAAATCACAATATTATGGATAAAGATAATAGACATATCGATAAACATAACACACGTTGAAGATAGACAGATAAGAGATTCTAAGCAAATTTCGATAAATCTACATCACAATATCGTGATTTAATATTTAAAGCACAATTTCATTGTGTTTCTCATTATTTCATTAATGAGAATTTGATATAAACTCATTAATTTCAATTTGATATAAACAATATACATTGATGTAAACATTATTTTCTCAATATCTATTCATTAAATTATCGACACTAACAGTATACGTGATCATTAGGAATCGTAATCTCTGAGAAAAATATCTTTTGCTACTACGTGTTAGCTTGTTAAAAAATAACGTCATTCCCTTGAGCCAATTGTAAATGGAAATGATCATAACAATGGTAGACCACCTTTTGTTCTACCTTATGCAATGTTACAACTATTTTAATGTTCCGTGAAAAAAGTTGTAAAAATGGGAAACTAGAGCAGTAATATTTAAGGGCACGATACTAAACTGTTTTTACAGTCTATTGGCTCATTGTGGTAATTAAGATAAATTTTTCAACTGTTTCTTTAGATTTTCCACGTGTGTTGCAAAAATTCATTATACGATAAAACGCGTTTTCAATTGTGGACCGAGGATAACAATTCTAGGTTAACATTAAAATTCTAGCATAGTAGTATATTAGAGAATTAAATAAATCAAAAATTGTATTTCGATTACTTTGTTACCATTATGCAATTAAAGAAAGAAATTGTCGAAAATATACTTTCAAATGTGGCGCGCAATACTAACCTATGTAATTAAATATTAATTTGAAAAAAATTAATATAAAAAATCAAATGAAACCAAAAAGAAGAACGACCTTAATCTCAATTAATCATGCCAAATTAAATAGGAAATTATTCATATAGTAAATGACAAATAAAAACGATATACATAATTCTACAAAATATTTGAATTCTTAGAGTCACAAATATCGAATACTTAAACTCAAAATCCCTAGTGCTAAATATGCGTCATCATATGCATTTATGACAATAATACTCAATATATACTTTTTTTAATTTAATTAGTCTATGTGACAATGTGCAGTATTGTGACATACGATTTAAGGCGTGGTAAGATTTTTTGGAAGTAATGTTGATACTTTAAACGTTCAGATTCGTTCAGAAAGTAATAATTGCATATAAAATTATTGGCCAGCTGGTTCGTACATATAGAAAATTGCCAACGATTCCTTTCCTGTTTAAACAGTAATCATCTCAACTGTATCCTGATTATTGGTTGAATGTCGTGCCATAAGAGTGAAAGAGAACTATGGTTAAGACTATATGTATGGAAAAGTCATCGTAAAGGAATTTTTAAAGCAATAAGATAAGGGATTTATGAGTCAGCCATTCAGTTGTGTTACGGTTGAGCACAAAATATATCTGGCAACTCCGTAAAATCCAAAAATTGCACGATTTTGGTATCAGAAGAAGACTTAAAACGACGAATTTGGAGGGAGTATACGAAGATATTAACTTACCAGGTAATAATGACTTTTTTAATGGTATAAGCTCCATTTTGTAGACAGGTAATATTATACTTCTATTTGACAGATATAATTTCCAACTGATAATTTTTTACGATAACGTTCTTCGGTAGTATTATTTCACTAGCTTGAACATAGATACAATATGTATTTTTTAAATATATTGTTTTTCCTTTAAATTGATTCTTATTGAATTTGTAAATGTGTAGAATTCATATTTTATAATATAGAAACAAAAAAAGTTAAAAATTTATATGCTGCTGATATTTTCAGGAAAATGTCTAACGTTAGTAATTTAGAACAGCAGATTGCAAATTTACAAATTAATCATGGCGATGGCATTAAAACCATTAAGTCTGGGAAAAAAGTGGGACCAGCTGTACCTCCAAAACCAAAAAAATCACAACCACAGGTCAGTAGATCCATTGAATATAATAATAATTATGTAACTTATTCAATAACAATATTTCATAACTATGACTCCCTTTCTATGACTGTTCCATTATTATATGGAAACATCAATGGTAAAATTAACAAAATAAAATTTATTTAGATCATCTTGTTATACAGAATTTAATGGGGTAAAATACTTTCCAGATACCACAAAGTTATACTATAAAGGCTGCATCAGTGCCATCATACAGTACAGTGCTTAATAATTCTGGCCAAAATGAAAAATCATCAAATTTATACGTGAATTCTCCTTCACCATATGTGCCACTAAATATAGAGAAAAATGACTTTTCATTACCATCCACTGCGAATGGAAAAGATGTTCCTAAAAACTATCAGAACAATGAGAATTTTTATGTGCACCAATCAGATGAGAAATTTGAACCAAAATATGGATATGACGAAAAAAATCATTATTCAAATATTGGTAATATGCCTGCTCCTCAAGTTCCAGTTGAAGATCACTCAAGATCAACAAGAAATATCGTATATAGTAATATAGATCCTCCAATATCTATACCAGTTAATAAGACAGCTAAAACTGAAAAAGACATCATCTACAGCAATATTCAATGGAATTCTAAACCAGAAAATACATATTGTAACATTCCTTCTGCACTCAATAATGGTTAGATATATGGAAAATGTAATCAAAAGTCATTTTTATTAGTTTACTAAATCAAATAATTATTATATTACAGATGACTTACCACCACCACCAGAACCTTCAGAATATGTTCCATGTGTGCCGGGTAGTTCCTTCCCACCACCACCGGAAGAATTACCGCCTCCGCCAAGTCCTGTGTCATCTAGTTATAGCGAACTTAGACGTGCTACTTATCAAACTGATTTTCCACCTGACAATTATCCAAATGATATTTATGGTCCAAGTTCACAATCCAGTTCTACATATGAATCTATATACGAACCAATTAATCCTAGACCACCGTCACAATTATCTTGCAATTATTCCATGTACTCTGGTTATGGATCTGCTACATCTACTCAGCCCCAAGGAAAGGTCTCTCCAGTTAAGGAAGTATGTCAAAATTATTATGTTAATTCCTTCATTGTGAAAAAATATTTCCCCAAAAAATTTATTTTTGTTTCAGGTGGACGTTTTGACTGATCTGTTAGTTCAAGGAATGGAAGATAATGCTGAAGACAGTGATATATATGGGATTTGTGCCCAGTGTGGTCGCAAAGTTGAAGGCGAAGGTACCGGTTGTTCCGCGATGGATAAGGTTTTCCATATTGACTGCTTCTGTTGTTATGTTTGTAAGGTTAACCTACAAGGTAAACCCTTCTATTCACTGGAAAACAAACCCTATTGCGAGGAAGATTATTTGAATACTTTGGAAAAGTGCTGCGTTTGCACTAGACCAATACTCGATAGAATATTAAGAGCTACAGGTAAACCTTATCATCCATCCTGTTTTACATGTGTTGTTTGCGGGCAAAGTTTGGATGGTATACCATTTACGGTAGACGCTACAAATCAGATTCATTGCATAGAATGTTTCCACAAGTAAGTAGCATTTGGTTGACCAAATAAAACAATTAATTTTACAAAGTATAAAAATGAATGTTTTTATATTACAGAAAATTTGCACCTCGTTGTTGTGTTTGTAAGTTACCGATTATGCCAGAACCAGGACAAGAGGAAACTGTGCGCGTTGTAGCACTAGATCGTAGTTTTCATATTCAGTGTTACAAATGCGAGGATTGTGGGTTGGTTTTATCTTCTGATTCCGAGGGACGTGGATGCTATCCTTTGGATGACCATGTGTTATGCAAAAGCTGTAATGCTACTCGTGTGCAAGCATTAACGTCACATATGACGACTGAATTATAAATGGCATGATCATTGAAACGATATATTAGATTGTTATATTTACAGTTGCCGTTTTATGAATTTTTATATTTAGAGATAAGTTTCTATAAGACATCCGACATTTAATATGTTTTTGAGGAACTTTTTAATCAAAGCCATTTTGACAATTGAATATGAGTAGGTTTTTCATTATTTGAAACTACGAGATGAATTACGTTAAATATTCATAATATTTCTATACTTTTTTAAAAGATTTATATTTTAGAGATTGTATTTATCTATATGTATTATTGACTCGGATTAGACAGGTTTGAAAAAATTTCAGAACTGGGTTAATGTTACTGCCTTTACACTGCCATATATGAAATTTCAAAAATATCTAAGAATTATATTGTCAAATAATATTTAACAAAAAATTCTAAACTGTGAGCACGTATGTTGTAGTCAAGATTGATTTCTTGTAATAAGTATAATTATTGACTATAATGTGATTTAGTCAGGTATTGCATATATTATTAAGGCAAGGTATTCAATTCCTAATATTAAGAGCAATGTTAGATTTATGTGTGACTATATCCTCATAACGTCAATAATGCGAAGTAGAGATTATGCAATTTATATGCTTCTTTCTATTGATCTAGAATATACAAAACGTTTATTCCAATGTATTGGATCCGTTATGTATTTAGATTTCCGCTTTATGATAAATCATGTGATACGATAGAATTAATACAATGCAAATTAGTGCAAATACCTTAAATTATATTATCTATTTAGCAAGTGAAAAGACTAAAAAAGCAAATAGAACTTAATTGTAAAATGTATTTGTAATGAATATTGAATAAAATAGCGATTATATTTAAAAACAACGCGTGGTCTTTAATTATTCTTCATTAGTTCAATTATTTCTTATTTTGGAAAGAATGAAAAAGTAAACGGTCTAAACGAGAAAGGTAAATACACAAATACAATATATATGTATTGGAGCATTGTATATTTCATATTTTTAATGAGATTTTATTATTATATATTTGCAGGAGAGACTCACACTTATTTTAGTCTATACCTTTTCTTTGCTATGGCTCTTCCATCTATATAATGTTCATGCACAGATGTCTTTATTTTGTTTTTAAATATATGCATCTCTTATACGTAATATATTTTTTTATTATCATCGAGTACTTAGTTTTTTTTTTGTTGTACAACCTACATATCATTTATGTATAATTTATGTTTTTTATTTTTCTTAATACATCAATTTCTGTGTTTTAGGAGGCATGCTTTATAGATTGTGGAATATGATTTGATCACTTTACAAAAAAATGAACTCAAATGAATTCCATATACATAATTTCCAAATTACAATAAAATATAACAGTGCAATCGCTGATTGGCAAACAAAACAAAAAATCTAGTCCGTATGTTTCTTGAGATTGCACAAGTTCATTTATCTTAGAAGTATGCTTAATAATATCGAATCATTGCCAGTCTTAATCCAGCAATAGAAATTTGGCTAAAGTATCGAATTAATAAAAAAATAAATAGCTGCTCATGTAAAATAACAAAAAACCTTTCATCATGCGTAGACAAAACCTATTTCACGCAACATATTGTGAACGTATAATAATCCACAATCGTAGAAAGCACACCGCGTACACTGTGTATGTAATATACATCAATTATATTCCTATGTTCAACTACGCATACCCGCTAATATCTATCTTAGATTTCTTTTTATATTATAATATACTTTGCGAAGTATATATTATATTTTATATCGTATCAGCACCATTCTACGTTGAATTTAGTACATGTATAATAATTGCAATTAAACGACTCGTCTTATTTTTAAACACGTTTCGTTTCGCTTGTTAAATCAGTACCAAACTGAACATAGAATTGTACCTCTTTTTTTTGCTTTTGTATTACCTCTCGTTATAGACGTATATATTTTTATATATATATATATTTATTTTATTTATTTATTTAATTAGGTATGTATACGTGTATGAAATATGCGTGTGTAGTGTGTATATGTGTGTGAGAGAGACAACATTAATGTACTTACACACGGATGCTTACACACGTAAACTGTCTTCTTTTCTCATGTTCTCTGTGTTTTCATTTTGTTTTCTTTTTAACTTGCACGCAATAATCACAGCCACCTATCCAGATACGCGCTCACGCACACCCAAATACGCACCTATCGCACTCGCATTCCATATACCATCGGTATACGTTTTTTATTTATTTTCGTTCGTTAATATTTATAATATATATATATATATCTATATGTATATATTTATATTTGTATATTGCTGAGATATCTTCTTGTGTATTATACATAGAAATAGGTGCCGAAACGAGCTGCTCTGTTCCTTTTTTTTTCTTTTATCATTTTTCCATTTCGATTACATATGTATAATATCGTTCTTTTTTTATTTATTTTCTTGTACGATCATAATAATTAATGAATAAGAAAAAAGGGGGACATGCGACTCGAATGCCGTATGCGATGTTTCCATATTTTGTTTTATTTTTTATTCGCACTTACTAAACTTCGTTTTCGTCTTTACCATTCCTTTTTTTGTATATCTCCTTAAAATCGTCCTTGCTTCTAATTAAATTCCCTTTCTCGAATTCCATTCTCCTAACAGCATACTTTCACACTTTCAAATTCGCTGGGTGCTGGTTTTGGGCCGTGCTGGGGCCCGTAAATCAATAAATAAATAGAGGAACAACATTCTTCAAACATCTTTTTTTTTTTCTTATAACAACATTAGAGGCTCTTGGAACGTAACGCAACAAATGTTCAACAATACAATCACGAAAACAAATAGAAGGCACTCTTACATTTTTTTTATCAACAAATTAATTTCTTTTCGTAACGACTCACGGGTAATCTATATGCGTCCTAGGCCTTTGTCGTCTCATCTACGTGTCCCTCGAATTATATTTCTCCCTTTTTTTTGTTTCTTACTCTTCCGTTCTGTTTATTCTTTCCCTTTTCTCTCTTGTACATAAACCGCTATATATTTCGCCGCGACATCTAAATCACAGCGCCGCACAAACCTTCGGTTCATTATCATTCTCCGTTTTCCTCATTTAAATAGACAATAATAGCTACAATATGCGAGATATGAGATAACAAATTTCTCGTTATAGATAAAAGAAATTTATACGTTCATAACAATTAGGTAGAATATTATTTAACCTTTTATATTATAATAATTTAATTATTGTTATTTGCTTGGAAGCTCACAGCCGACACATTTATTTAATTCATTATTACATACTTGTTTTTTTTTTTTTTTTTGTTCTTTTAAAGGTATATCTTTTTACCGTATTCGTTTTTCGGGTATTTAGGGCATCTCTTTTTCTCTTTTTTTCATCGTTTTTTTGTAACAGCTATTTTTATGACCATCTGTCTTTTTCTCCTTTTTTCTGTTTTTTTGTTTGTTAAGTTTTAAATATTTCCTCCTGCGTCTTTCTTGCGCGGATAACTTGTCGAAAAAAAAGAAGAAATGTAAATCAGTATATTATCATTTCTTTTTCTACTGTGGCGTCTCGAAATTGCGTGAGAATGAGTTGTTTTGTTCACGGTTACTCTAATTAAACTATAAGTACTGGTTTTACCATCAGGTAGAAAATCAAAACTGAGAGATGTGGCAGTGCCTTGAGCAACCGTCTTTTTTTTTTATGAAATCAATTCTATTTCTGCCTCCCTATTACCCTCCACTTCATCGTTATCGTTTATCGACATCACTACCATTTTTTTTTCTTTGAACACATAACAAATCGCTCGTCTTTGTACGATAATAACATATTATTTGTTGTTACCATATTACTTCCTTTTTTTTTGTATGTTTTCTTCTGTCCTATCATCTGTTTGTAATCCATCTATCCTACTCTAGCCTTGCTCGTGAGATTCAATGGTTTATCGAGCCTATCGCGCATAAACGTTAAATACTGCATATATAACATATATAGATTTTAAATAATGTGTAGCATATCTGTATTATCTATTATGATAGAATTGTTATCATTTTTCCCTCTTCGTCTCTTTCGTTAAACATTTCGGTTTTTTATTTAAAGAGATATATATATAATATAGCTTGACTTCGAATTTTCTCTTATTTCCTTTGTTTCACGTTACTCTAATTATATCTGCTCTCTTCGATAGATACGTACATACATATATATGTAGGTACATATACACATCCACCTGAGTATACGTATATATGTATTTACATATATATAATATATATTAATCGTATATATTGTTTCCTTTTCATAACTAATATAATAATCTTTAAATATCGTATATATTTTTTTATCTTATATATATATATATATAATATATATAATATATAATATATTCTTTTATAAATGCTTAACAATTTAGTACATTTAATAATTTACCGAAGAGCAATAATTTACATTTACATTTATGGAGTTTTTTATCTAGTCTGCACATTTTCCTCGTTTCTTTCCTTTGTTTCTGTTTCCTTTTCTTACTTTTTTCTATAGATTTGGGATTGAGATCACAAGAGAATAGAGCAAATGTGTATTTTCGAATGTGTTCAAGTTCATTCGCATTCGTGCTGTCTATGCAGGTTTTTTTTTCAAAATATATTAATTATTGGGATCGTTCGTGAATCGACACGTTTCTTTTAATTTATTATTTCTTCTCATTCATACGGCTTCGAAATCGGGATGCATCTATCTACCTACCTAACTATATCTTTATCTACCTGTCACTAACCTATTATATTAAACGGTACGTACGTACCGTTATTACACGTACTGTTAGGACCGAAAGAAGAAGAAAGGGAGGAAAAACGAATCGAGCCTGTGTACGCATACGTGTTGTTATTAATGTATATCGAGAGAACGAATTTTAAAGGGTCAGAGCTTGCATCTGATGGCACGCGTCGCTCAGCTGACCTTGGTCGCCAGCAGGATGACCCGGATGAGTCCTTGGCGTTCCGGGCGGTGTTATCGGCATTCTTCCAACGCCTGGTGGAGCATCACCGGCTCCTCCAAGACTATCGTCCGCTACTTTGTTACCGGCCTGTATTATTCCATTGACCTTGTACTTGTTCTGCCGTAACATCGTTGTGGTAGCTGCCTGGGAATTGGAATTCGCGTACTTCTCCGTCGGTTTTCTGCTCGCGGTCAACGCAGGGGCGATGGTGTACCGACGTTGAGCGTTCGACTGTTGTGGCTGCTGCTGATGCTGGGACGGGGCTAAGGATGGCTGATAGCGGTTTTGCGCCGGATTGTAGAACTGGACCTGGGAGGTGGGTGGTGACAAATTTGGAAGGGGTCTTGTCATGGGCGAATACGGCGCTGGCGGTGGGCTCACCGGCTTCTCCGAACTACTATTCTCCGTCCCTTGCACACCCTGCGAATTACTATTCTCGTTTTCGATATTAGTCACGTATTTATCATTTGACTGACTATTGGAATTGTTACCTCCATCGGTTTGTCCGGCGATCACCCCGTTGTTTCTATAGTTCGTCGTATTTTTACGGCTAGGATAGTTATTCGGTTTTGTCGCGTTCTCGAAATACTGATCACCGCCGCTATTAGTCTTACGGCCGTTAGCGTAATCGAAATTCGCCGCTGAATTAAACATTTTCTGTGTATTCGTACTATTATATTGCTGACCGCTGGTTGTATTCGAACCAAACGATTTTTGGTTGTAATTCTCCGATGATCTTTGTGCTACGAAGGAAGCCGGGGAGCCCACGTTCGAGCCAACCGCCTTTTTGCTATACTGCATGGAGAATCGCGAACTCATCGCCGGCGTCGTGTACTTATAGCTTCCATCTATGTTACTATGCTTGTACGGTTGAGAATTCCCTACATTTTGAGCTCGAAAGAATGGATTCTGATGAGACAACGCGATCCCATGATTCTGCGATTTCGAGTAGTTATTTTGGCCGTTCACGTTCCCGGATTTCGTGTAATCTCTGGAATTGAAACACTGATTCTTGTTCGAAGAATCGAATAACTGTTGTGATATTGACGGGGGTGTTGGCAACAGGCTGGTACCACCGGATGCGTTATGAAATGGAGATGTATGCGTGTGAGGAATGTAAACGGCTGCCGGATGATACACGATTGCCCTGCAATGCATCTGATTGCCACTGCAATCGTCAGTTTCATTTAAACATGTCTGGGAACTGTACAAGTTAGCGGTATGTATAGCGATTGGATGATAATTGGTGTAACGACCGGACATGGGAAATTTCACGGGCATTAAGGACACCAAGGGTGTGGCTGAACCTGAAGCAGCCTGTGTTTCACCATGCGCTTGCTCCGAGTGGCTTGATGTCGAACGAGAATCCTACGATTTATTTCACAGATGGTAGTTTTCCGTCCATTGCTTGGTTCTTTTCTTAATTAATCAATATAATCGATCGATTTACATGATATGTATCATGGATACATCTCTATACACGCTAATGATGTTGCATTTACACTAGCACGAAACAATTAAGTCATCTCAGTATTTAAATTTCCTTTTCAAAGAGATATTTTCATATATCTTTAGCAGTTTAAAAAATAATCGCGTAAATGTAGGATGAACCAATAGTCACAACTGTGGTTGGAAAAAAGTTATAGTTCTCTTTTGTTTTTAGATATAATGCAACCTTTAAAATTTACTACAGGAAAGAGTAAATCAGAATTAAAGGAGAAAACTATTATAATTATTTATGTAATTTCGTATTATAATTTTACAATTATCACTTAGAATTATTATTAGAATGAATGAATGAAATATTGTGATTATTGATCCACCTTATAAAAGGCTTCCTTATAGTCTGATAATCGTTAAAATTTTTGTACTATATTCTATGGAAACCTATTATATATTACTAAAAAAAAGAGAAGTAAAGATAGTGACTTACCTCCTGAGGAGCAACCTGACCATCAGACGAAGACGTTTGTTGACATGAGGCATCAGTAGGGAAAAGTAATAGCTGCTGATCGGTCAATCCCATGGATGCATGCGGTGGAGGAGGTGGATGGGGCCCAGCTGCGAATGGATAATAAATGTGGTCCATCTGAGGAGGCGCAGGACCTGCAGGCACCGGTGGATGATGATGCGGCGGTGGAGCGGCAGAAGGATAGAAATGCGTCGGTGGCGGAGGGGGTAAAGATGGAATTGGCTGTGGAGGACCCGTTGGTGGACTCGTCGCCCCTGTGCCATTGTTACCACTTCCGGAATTACTGTTACCGCCACTCGTGCTGTTCTGCGAGTTGTTCGTTGGATACAAGTACTGATGAGCTCCGGCGGCGACTGCCCCTGCATAACACTCGTACTGCACAGAAAGAAAAACATCATCGATCAGTTAATTATTCAAAGAATATACCGGGTTGATCTATCTTTAGAATAAAAAAAAGAAGAAAATGTCGTACATTATATAATCATCTTGTACGTTGATCTTGTTTGGAAGTACTAAGATCAATATACAGGTTACAAGATGAAATCTGCTGTCAAATGATGTTTCCAGGACACTCAAATACCAAATACTTTACCTTAACATTTTGTGCATGCCTATAATTTAAATTATACATTTTATACTTTGTATCTTTTTTCATCTTTTAAATAGAAGACTACTACATAGTAGGCAATGAATGTCATATATATCTCTTTCCATATTCTCTGTGCAATATAAAAATACAACATATAGAACAATGTGAATGAAGAAGTCAAAAGATACATAAATGAGCGCTTAAAAAAGTGAAAAAGAAATCATCAATAACGTTATGCTGTAATACAACACATTATACGAAAAACAACATACTTGTGATGTTTTATACGATAATAAAATTCTTTTTATTGCAACATAAGCACAATAAATGTGTACTTATAGACTAGATGGGAAATTTACATTCATTCATACGCGCAACTCGTATGTGAGATTATTAATACAAATCGTTAATTATGTGAAAAAAAGATAAGTGGTGCATGCATTCTGATAGGCCATGCAGAAGTCCAGCAAAGAAAACGCACAAAGATAATGCGCTGCATGCTAGTCACTTAGCATAGACCATGTACCTTTAGACCTCAATACTGTATAGCGTCGAGAAGGACGTAAGTAGGCATTTGCTGAGGGTTGGGTAGAAACGCCGGTGGTATGGCTTCTCCCATCAAACCATTTGTCTGTCAAACCGCAACCGATTTATCGTTTAATATAAATACAAGCTATACCCATAGACAATTCATATGATAGGGTGTGAACAAAGGACCCAAGATTAAAAAGGAGTTCAGAGAAAGAAGTCGGCATAGTCTATTATCTGTTATGTTACCTACCGGCATAGGCGAATACTGATACTGTTGTGGCATGTAAAGAGATGGAGCAGGACACGGGTACATCACAGGCGTGAAAGTTTGATGACCAGCAGCTTGTGGTCCTAATTATTGAAATCAAATTGTTTGATTAATATAAACATTTCAATCTTCTAAAAATTACGATTATGACTTTTCATTAAATTTACCGAACACTCCAGTAGCTTGATAAATAGTTGCTGGATCGGTCGGTGGAGCAATTGGTGTCGTTGGTGTTGGAGCTGTTGTGTTATAAAATGTCATGCCATTTTGGTATGTCAACCCCATACCTGGTAAAAATAAAAAATTTCATATAATAAAATATTTATGTAACTATAATTAATTAGTAAATTAAATTTATGACATTATAGGATATAATTACACTAACCATTTGGGTAATAGTAAGTACTAGTAGGCACAGAGGGTGGCGAGCCAGAACCACCATCCAAAGATCTATTGAAAGGTTGTTTTTTAATTGCAGGTGCTATATTTAATTTTCTTTCCCTTAATACAATGCATTCAGACTATAAACAAAATAATTTCAGATTACTACCATGGTTGTTATATCTTTAACTACTAAATATATTAAACATATGTATTACAAACCTCTTGCTGAAGTCTTTTAGCTTCTTCCTCAGTTTCAAATGTAACAAATCCATAACCTTTGGAAACACCAGCTCGGTCAGCAATTATTTTTGTAGCCTTTACATTGCCATAAGAGGAGAAAAGCTCAGCAAGTTCTTCTACACTGGTATTAGCAGAAATACCGCCTACAAAGATACGATTTGGAACCAAGGTACCATATTTTGGTGCAGCCATTGTGAGACTTGTTGCTGAGGCAGGGCTAGAGGCTGGACTAGACCCCTCAGTACCACCCGTTGATGCCGAACTCTAAATAACATGACTAATATTAAAACAACGCAGCTAATATACACGTAGAATGCAAGGATATAATTAAAAAATAATGAAATAAATATAGAATATCTATGTTAGAATATAGTTGTAGTATACAAAAATTTTATATCAAACACATTCGATTATACACATACCAAAAAGTTACTAAGTGATAAAATAATAAAGGGTAAAGTAATAATAATAAATAATGTAAAAATAAATTTAGGCACTAAAACTTTATATTTTGTTATAAATTATGTGCTTAATTAAGTTACTATGTAAATGTCACATTTTCCGTGTACATGTTACTCATTAAGAAAATAGGCACGATCGCGAAGTAACTATGAAAACTACAATTTCCACAATCATTTGTACACATATATGACACCCAAATATCAATATGAAACCAATCGGACTGTCAGTGATCTGAAAGCCTGCATCCAAACAAAAACAATTGGTTCGTCAATCTGTACATTATTATCGTTCTTTTTTCTGTGACGATAAATAAACGTAGGTTATGCTAGATCGTTTCACTATACAAAAGCATCGGGGACGAACTTGAAGAAGCGTGCCGACAATACGCATCGAAATCGTCGATGCGACGGCATTAACTCGAACGCTACCTAAAAATATTGACAAGCGACAGAACTGTTCGTCTAATAGGTAAGATTCGAAGCATCGATAACAATGAATTAATAGGGGATTATTTGACAAGGACAACGAGGCTAATACGCCACTGTCTCAAGCAATGATAACGTCACCTTCGTTAATGAGAACGTACTCACGGTACGAAAAATGAATTTTGTCACAGGGTTAGATGCAAAATCTTCGCGTATGAATGCTCACCATCTTCGCGATAGTCGGGCGTGTAAATGAGTTTGTCGGCCGTGAGGTTGTCCTAGCAGCTTGAAGGTACCCTGGCCTCGCACGAGGTCACCTGGGTGCCCAGGGACTGCCAAGGACCGTTGCAACCACTTCAAAAGGACTTCCAGCCTCCGGCGAAGCTGCTGTTCCTTCTCGCTAAACCTCCAAACACTACAGACACTTTTACAAGATGGCGGTCATACGCGCCGTTCAGGGCGCTAATATTCCAGATTTTAAATTCTCTATTTCGTCAGACTGACGCGACGATCGAGATCCTCCGCCTCATCGATACGTGTTCATACACGTTCCGAAATACAGAAATAAATATTTTTAATTTCTTAAAACTTAATAAAATCTATACATATATATATATATATTTGTTACATTTGATTTAAATAATAGATGTAGGATTTTAATTTCATATAGTACAAGTATTCTCGTTTGATGGAAAATTGTAGTTATATAGTTAAAAAATTAATATTACTATAAAAGGAAAGGGAAATGAATTTAAAAACTTCTTGGAATATAATGTACTAAAATATGTAACATCATGTTTTTGAATTTTTTATATTACGTTTGCCCCTGTTTGGCAGAAAATTGTAATTTATACACGTAGTTAGAAAATGTATATTGCTATAAAAGCAAAGAAAAATGAATTTTAGAAATTTCATAAAGTATCATATATTGCAGTACATTATGTATGACGTTTGTCACATGTGACTCAAATTTTCTAGTGAAATTTTTGGTGAAAATTGTAGCTATATTCGGAAAATTTATTTTTAACGCCGTAGTTTTGGAACATCTAACTATTGGTAAGTAATATATAGTGGAACTATCATACGTAGTCGTATAGTAAAATTGCAATGTTGGATGAAAGAAGTATTGAGGAAGATGTAAATATTAAGTTCCCGTTTCTTCAAGACAGTTTACGATATTAAAAAGTTTAATATTTTTCGCATGACATATGTTATATAATAAATTAATTCAAGTTATAGTCTTTTCAGATTCTTTTTATATAAAATGAAAAATATAATAAACATCGCTGTTTATCATTATTTTCTTTCATTATTTATTTAATATACAATATTTTAACTGTATAGCACTGAGAAAAATAAGAATTTTCATTTTAAAAATTTTTAAAATAATAATTTTTATCCATTTTCATCGGTTTACAAAATTTACTATATTTTCGTCAATTTTGAAGAAATACTACGAAATTTGGAGTACTTATTTCAACAAGATTGGAGCATTCTTTCATATAAAAAGTTACACCCAACAGTAAAGTTAATATAATAATAAATTATTGTTACATAAGCATTCGTGTTTTTTAATTTTAAATCTATATTGTTTAAAATTACTGAAGTTGTGGATGAATTCAATTTTATCACAATGGCGGTGATTGATTGCGGTTACTATGGTTCATGTTGGTTTTCCTTTATTCACGAAGCTTACCTAATTTTTGATGCGTAGACATTCAAAGGATTGCTTCTTAGTAGCGAACATGATTACCTATGGATTAGCCCGCGATGAATAACCGAATAAGAACACTGAAATTGAAACGAGAAACGAGAACGGAGAGAAAAACTAAAATGTGCTTCCTCACAGCATTGTTGACTTCGAAAGACTGAAACATTCGCCGCCGTACCGCTCTCATCATTATGCCATTTGTAACTTTATTAATATCCCAATAAATAAATTTTGTATACATTTATTATTACTAGAAATATATTCAGTAACTTTTATGATGAATTTTTACTTTAAAAAAAGCAGGTATTTTGTCAAATAATATATTTGATGAAATATTACAGCATTAGTTTGACTCCAGTAGCACTGGCGATTATACGGATATTCGATGTTCAAATGTTATGAAAAAAATAAATGATGTTTGAATACATAGGTTAAAGAATTCACCTTTATCTCCCTGTATATGAATACAGGCTACGATATATTATTTATTCGTCATAGCTTTAATTTTATATCATATTTATTATTTAATATAAATCTGGGGTAACAAATGCGATAGAGTTAATAGATGCAATATAAACTTTATTAAACTTAATAATATTCGTATATATACAAGAAATGTACAGTAAATTATTTATGTATATCTTAATCTTCATACATTGCTTAGGTCGATAGATGTTGATTTCTCAAAAACAGTATACATATGTTCTCCTTTTAATAATTTGAAATTGCTCCTGAAGTAATATTTAAGTTCTGAAATTTACAAAAATCATAGGTTATTATAATCCTTTTGAAAAGATCGACATTTTATTTTTATGAAAATAAAAAATTTTCTAAATATATAATTTTTTTCATCTACGAAATAATATAGTAAATTATCACAAAGGACGAATTTTACAATATATATATAGTTTTGTTAAGTAAATGAAAATTAACTTGTTATTATATTATTATTACATCGCCATTTATCATTAACTTACATATTTTTTGTGCATAGCAAGGCAAAAAGTGCAGACTTGCGGCCTTGTTTGTGAATCAGTCCAATAATTTGTTCCGTAAAGTCCGCTGCTATCCTCAACGCGTAAACACGGTTGATCTATAGGACCGGCAACAAGAACAGCACCCAAATGGCTGATGTAACTGCTCGCTAATCTCAATGTCTCTATTTTTGATAATTTCCTATCCGCAGGTTCCGTTGGTATTAAAGTTCTCAAGGTACTGAAAGCCGTGTTCACACTGCAGAGCGAAGATTGGATTTCTTGAATTTCGCGTTTGGATTCCTTACCCTCGCTTAGAGTATTCGCGAATTTTTCATAACTGAATATTCTCCTGAACCAAAAGACGAACATCTCGTTTACACACTACTCAAAGTAATTAGAGAAGCTTCTGTTTTACAATTATAATTCAATACATATATAATAATTTAATTATCTTATTAATTTGTTATTAACAAATTATTCAAATAATTATTCCTCTAATTACTTTGAACAGTACAATATCCCATTCTCTGCAATTTAACTTTTAAGTTTGTATTATTGTATCTTTACAGAGTATATAAACATTTTAAGCATTATTTTAATAGTTTTATTATTATGTTTTAAAAAATATATTTTTGATGTCTTAGAAAAAAAGATGATTATTTTATGATTAAAAATATATTTTCACCTATGAGTGCGATCCCTTTCACGTGCGTTCGCTTGATAACGTTGCTTTGATGATTCCTCTTTCTTTCGTGCAGCCATGCTGCACTGTGCCGTTATCAGTTAATCGTTAAATAACTACAGTAACTCAAAAGAGGCGTCCGACCACACTAGCGGTTCGTTTATGAATGACTAAGCCGCTGTGGCTTCCTTCGTTTCCTCCAGGATTCCCTCTTCCCCGATGTGCGTTGCCGTTAACCCCCACCCTACCCCTTCCCTTTACTAGAATACACATGTGAAATACACGTGCATCCGATTAGGGGCGAACGAGCCACTTGCACCATGTTTGGCTAGTAAAAACAGAATACGTTAATAATAATTTTGAAAATATATATAAACATAACAAAATATGTATATATAAATAGTAAAAAGTAACATTTACCGGTCGTATTCAATTTTTAAAAAATTGAGATACATGAAATTAAACATTTTTGTCAAATCATGCATAGCAGTCAAAAAAAGAAATTGTTAACTAAATAAATTACAGAATTAGAATTGATTAGCTAGTTAAAAATACAGAAATGAGTAGTTTAAGTAAACTAATAGCTATATTAATATAAAGAAATTGAAAAAGCATCCTAAAAGCATCCCCCAAAACTATTAAGTACTAGCAATAATTCTCTTGATGATTACCTTCTTATTAATATATAGAGGTATCTTGAAAATAATTTTTTCTAATATTCTTTCAACAGTTTGCGCTTTTGTAACATAGGAAATAGTTTCGGAATGGTCAACGTGACACTTGTTTCCTTCTACAGACACAAACATAGAAACATACATAGATGTGATAACTCCCACGTAAAGTGGTCGGAGGCTGGGTTTCACATTACGGTCAATAAAAACTAACCGACGACCGGTAGAAAGAGCGAGGAAAACAAATACCATGTGTAAAATTAATTAGGCTAGGTCTGATGTTAGTTTCTGACTGATTCATGACTGGCCTTTTTGTAAATTCGTAGAATATTATAGCGTTGGATATAAATTACCGTGACACGAAGAAATAGTGTATTTTATAAGACAGGCATTTATTTTCTGTCGAGGGAATCCAGTGACAGGCAAACTGGTAATAAGAAATTATACAATGATTTGATCTTCTGATCAGATAAAATTTTCCATTTGACATATTCACTTTTCCTATTTTCTCTGGTAACAGATTAATGCAGAAAAAAATGTCTGCTTGAGATTACGTTGTATTAACGCAAATGTATATAATTCTCTCACAGATAGTTGTATGGTGACATAGGAAAAATATATTATAGTCTCGTAAATGCAAGCAGACATTGACAGTACATTGGTCATTCCACATCTGAATCATATTTTTTTCATTCTGAAAATGATATCGAATATTTCTTTGTGAAGAAATTAGAGAAAAAAAGATACGATAAAACGGGATGTTCCTATGAAATATTTTACTTAATTAAATAACTACATTACACTGAATTAATTATATAGCAGAAAATTTATACGTTCGAATTGTCGTCAGAATAAAGGATCATTTTTCTTAAGCATTTACTCTTTTCTCTTTCATTGAAAACACGCATTAATTTCCAGTGCCTGCACAGTGCATACAGAATATTTTTGTGAACATTACACACGATGAAAGATTATGCGTTCGCTCACATCATTTTTCTACAAACTTTTTTAACTTTGGTCACTTCGTTACAAAGTTTGCATTTTTACCATTTTTTTGTGTTTTGTTCTTTAATTACTAATCAGCCGCTCGATCAAACTAGTATCAAACGCTCGTGGTCTTCAGAGTAAAATCTTAAAAGGATACATATAGAAAATATACAAATTGTCCGACACAGAAATTACAATAATTATTTAAAACTTAAGTTACATCTTATGATACGCTAAAACACGAAAAGTCTGTGAGAAAATCATTTATGAATTGTTTCATGATGCACAGACAGTTAACATGTTTGGGAACATACTCTAAGATTATAAAATTATTATTCGTCTCAAAAACACGATTTGTGTTCGTCGGTACATAATCGAGTGTTGTAAATTGTAAAATAAACGGACAACGATTTACTTCCCTGCACGTAAGCACGAAAGAGCTAAAAAAAACAAAAAAAGAAGAAACACGGTGAACCACTTCTCTTCTGAACACTTTGGCATTATTACCGCTGTGAGAAATGAAATCAAACGGAAATGAATCTCGTTTGAGCATATGGTAATATCGTGGTTTCGATAATATATATAATATATATAGAAATTTCAAACAAATTTACACGTCAAGCGGTCGCTATATATATGTATATATATAAATATATATATATTTATATATATATATATTTTATATTTATATTTCTATAAATATATATATATTTATACATATACACATATTTATATATATATAAATTTTAATCCTCCATAGTGCTAGATAAATCCAGCTCTATCCTTTAAATCGTGTCATATTTACACTAAAAAGTTACACGTCGTAACAATCCTTACGTTTTTATATTCTCGTTAGTTACTTAACTTTAAAGAAAAACCGCAAAAATAATTTTTGATCATAAACGTAAGGTCAGCGATCTTGAGCAGATCGTTTCTATTTTTTTTGTTTATCCTTGCACCTTTTTTCTTATCTCTTTTTTTGTCAATTGCAAAGCATGACGTCTTGTGCTCGATCACCGCCTGACGAGTACTCGTTAATTGTTTCTAACGAGGACCGTCGCGTCCCTAATTATAAAGGATAATCATTAGAATATATAAATACAATTACACTTAAGGGCGTGATCCACGTGCAGCTTCTTCCAGTGCGCGAACTTTAAGCTCACGCTCGCGCTGTTGTCTAAAAAACACCCTTTGTTAGTCCGATACCACTGGTCGTCTTAATCAAGCATACGTATAATTGTATAGCTTTGTTATGGATTTCAAAGGACGAACCTTAGATATTCCTCGTGATGTGCAACAAGCGATGCATGAGGAGGGAATCGATCGCGTTCCATCATTAGATGACGTTGTAATTGCTCGTGATGCGCCGCCATATCCGCGTACGGTCTTCCAAGAAGTTCCGCGGGATGAAGAGCCAGTGCTGGGTCACGGGGCATTAAGCCTGGTCGAGGATAATTTGCACCAGCTGCCGCTGTACAGATAGAAAACATTAGTAAATTGTAAAAGACGATCGTGTTGCCTTCATAAGATAAATAAAGCCTTGAGAAAACTTATAGATAGACGGGCATGCATGATGAAGCGTGAGATTTGTTGGACGATATTTTTGGTTTCGTATGCCGCTGCACTGTAACAACTTTCTTCTTTCTTTATTCCCTGTCCAAAATTAACTGGTCGCCCAGAACAGGATCAACTTTTATTTCTTCATCTTGCATTCAATCCTTGAAATATTACACAGAAGTACCTTTACGATCTAGCATAGATGAAAATATCAATAAGAAGTAAATTAATTAGTAAATTTTAAAATTAATTTCCAGGTAATATATAATAAAAACAAATTTAATAGAAAATTATTTTGTAAGATCAAAATATCACCTTTCATACTCCAAGGACTAATACAAATGCTACACTTGCATGATTACTCTTAAACGATTCTGAACGATCAGTTGATTTTGGATAGATTTATATAACGACATTAATAAGATGTTATAATAGGATGATATGATAATAAAAACATATAGACGTTATGTTGCTGTAATGTTGATAAATTATGCAAGTAATGTGCAGCTTTTAAAAGAGTATTGTCATAAATGGATAATAAATATCATAAATGTTTGTGCAGTACAGACACATTGTGTCACTCCCATTCACGCACGTACCACACACACAATCATTGCAGTTTACTTAAAGGTAATTCACGCTATTAAAAACTCATAGAATCTTTATTGATGAATCGTACCTTCACCCAGAAACTGCGCTCGATGATCGAAAAGCTCTGGTTTCAAGTTAATATAATATGGCATAGCGAGAAAAGCGACAGAAAAATGCAAAAAAAATTTTTGCCGCAGAGAAAAATTTGTATTTCTCTCTATTTTTTTGTTGTCTTTTTCTTTATGAAAAATATAAGCTGTTGGTGGCAGTTAGAATGCTTTCCATTTAAGTTAGAGTGACTGATATTAAATTGATTAGGTGAAAAGCACGTTACAGTACGCTTACACGCAATTGACCGCTTTACCGATCACGGACTCGTTATCTTACAAAAAAGAAAAATAAAGATTCAGAGAATTCTTACTACTCAAAAAATACACCTAATAAGATTATTTCCTAACTTTACGATCTTACTTTAAAAATTGGATATATGTGATTCTTATATGTTAATTTACGTTTGATTTTACATTTTCAATTGTATCAATACAAAATTAAATTACAATTGTAGAACTAATAGCTCGTAAACGTTTTCAAATTATAGAAATGTTCTCAGTAGACTGGAGATGTTTATACAAATTCATATCGTTATGAACACAACTAAAGAAATGGAACCTATGCAAAAATTTGTCCCACTTTCTAAATATAATACATATAAAATATAAAGTGAAATAGAATATATGATATAAATATAAATATGAATATTCTTTATACATATCTCTATATTAAGTCTGTACATCTTTAAATTCCCTATAAATGCATAAATATCCGCAATCTACTTATCAAATTTAATCAAGATCAAGAAAGTCTAATATCTATGCTCTTATGGGCAAAAGTAAAATCGTGATATATTTATACACATGTGGCATGTGTTATAAAAGAAATCCTTGTTGGTTCTAAGATTATAGAGATAGTCGGTGAAAGGAGCGATCATCGTGCGGGAGCGTACTCAAACATCCTGATTTATAGGACCTACCAGGCAGGGGGAATCCAGCTGCAGCCGCAGCCGCTTCCTGCTGTTGCTGAGCCTGTTGCTGGGCCTGCTGCTGTCCCGGATGTAAGTGTAAGTGCGTATGCGCATGCGTATGCGCGTGAGTGTGAGCATGATACTCGGGCGAAATGCCAGCCATCTGCAACCGGACCATCGGGTCAGCAGCTAGAGCCAGTCGCTCGTCCAGCTGGCCGTGGTGATGAGCCGCTACGGGATGGCCAGCCCCTGCACCCGCTGGCCCCCCGCCGGCTGCAGTCGGTATCCCTAAACCCGACAGCGCCTCGATCAAACATACTGTCCCAGTCGTACTTTTAATTCTAACCAGCTACGTAGTAGTTCTCCCGACAATGAATTCTTTTTTGATTTTTTTTGCGGCACTCTTCTGTCAGATCTTCGACCGATAGCTGCGTCTTACATCATTACTTGATCATTTGGTAATTATATAACAAACACAAGAAGCAGCTAACATTCGAAAACAATCATTATCTCGCTTTATCTCTAAATTAACGTTGTCCACCGAATGAAGTCATTTTAATAATTTTGTTTCGCTTTGACGACAGAATAATCATATATCTATGGCATTAGAATATAAGCTCCATGAGTCTTGGGATAGTAATTTGGACAACGCTGATTTAGATTCTTAACTCGGTCGAATCTCGCCAATTTTCTCAATCAAATCAAAATCATAATCGCTGTTCGAGGTTCTCGGATATAAAATGTATTCTTTTGAAAAGTTGTTCTGACTTCTTGTCCGTATTGTAGCTAATTGCATCAGAAATTTAACACCATAACCTTAATGTGGTAAATGATTATGAACTCTAACTTGTAATCATCTATTCAAGTTTGTACTTGACATGATAAAGCCAGCTGCAATGCAGCTAAGAATACTGGAACAACGTTTTGAAAAGTCACAGCTTACATCTGAAATCCTGATCAGCAGCAACCCGGGCCATGAAAGCCTAAAATCACTCATCCATAGTTAATTTTGCGTTCAGTCCAATATGCGAGAAGAAAGATACGCATTTCGAGGGGAATGGTAGACCCTTACTGGTAGAGAGTTAACGTTACCTAGTCTTTCTAAACGTTCTCTTTCCAACTGACTGGGCCCAGGCGGTGCTCCATAAAGACTGAATTGGTGGAGAGCCTGAGGAGGTCCTGACGGTCCAGGAGCGAGTCCAGCGGCCGCGTAACGTCGATGAATTTCCAACCAATGTGGATCCACTGGCGCTGGCATAGGTCTAGGCGTTCCCTTCAGAAGCTCCTCTTTTAATCGATCGTTTAATTCTCGTTCGCGTAATTCTCTTATTTCTCGCTCTCTCTTCTCACGTTCTAAATGTTCTAGTTCTAAGCGTTCTCGAGCAGCAGGACTATACATGTAATGTAACATCGGATCTGGTGGCGCAGGATGTCTAGCAGGTGAAAATGCAGCGTGTGGTCGAGCGTACTCGGACAACTGTCTCAAAGCAGGAGTATCAGCGTAGGATCCCGGTCTTGCAGCATATCTGTCATACGGAGACACGACAGGCTCAAGAGGCCCACGACTAGGCGGCTTACATGTTTCTGGCTGCTTCTCAGGCGTGGTCATTTTCCTAGCTTGCTGCGCCGCAGCTCTATCACGTTCTTCTCTTTCCCTCTCAGCTTGCTTCCGCGATCTTTCCTCTCTCTTTCTTGCTAACTTTGAATCTGGGACAGGTTTGAACATTAGATCTGTTCTAGTGCAAGAGTTGTTCTCGCCTCGGTTCCAATGTCGTAGAAATATGGCGGATTGTGATCTGTGGCATTCAGAATCTTCAATTCGAGGCTCTGGAGATGGGCCTCGTGGGCTTGGGGGTTCTTCTTGTTCTTGTTCTACGAGGTCAGGTTCTATTTTAGGTTCAGGAGCGACTGGAGGCTGAGATTGCGGCGGTCTATGGTGATGATGCGCTGAGCTACTGGATGTCAGACATGTGGTTGGAACTAGCGATGGTTTACGTTGAGTATTATGTGAACTATGGGACGAAGAGTGACTATGAGAACTGTGAGAGGAGATGGTCAACAGTTTGTCGTGATGCAGAGCCGTGGCTTGATGCATTGTAGAAGAGTGATGATGCGTCGCGATGAGATTCTCTCCTTCTTCTCTCGTTGTCACACTGGAACTCGTGCTTGAATGATGTGCCGTCATCATAGTTGTACTTTCTTGACTCCTTTGTGGGGATGGAGGAGGGATTGCATGGGGAACACCGTAAGGATATGGTGGAAACGAGGGATAAGCACCAACTGGAGCATAACCTGGGTAAGCATGAGGATGATATGGATGCATGGCGGTAAATAATGAGTGATGCATCAAGGGATGGTGTGGGTGGAATGGATGAGCCATATGAGGACTTGGTTGCTGGGCTGGATGCATCACAGGCTGTGGAATAGACGTAGGTGGTGGTGGAAGAGTCGGCGTTGGGGAAGCTGCCACAGATTGTATTTGAGGAACAGGCTGACTGCTTGGTATGGAGTGCTTGCTAGGTGTTGGTGGTTTGCTGGAACTATCTGGATCTTTTTTAATATTCTCCAAACTCGGACCAGGAAAACCAGACTGAAAACCAGGAACTTTGACTTCCTTTAAACTTTGAAGCGGATCTGGCTCAGGAGGAATAATCTCTTGCTTGATCTTCAAATTTTGAGGCTCCATCGGTGGCGTTCCAGCTAAATTGTACATCGGCGACGGTTTCTCCATGGATAACATTCCACTTGACTGAATGGGTTGGAACAGATTATTTGATTCGTTCCTCTCAGGCTCGTTATTTTCTGGTCTTTCTGGTATCCTCTCTGGTATTCTATCAGGTATCCTACTATCTCTAATCCGTTCCGGAGGTAGTCTGTCGTCGGAAATTCTTTCGGACATTCTGTTTTCAGAAGACATGACGGTTAAGCCAAGTGGTTGTGGCGAACTCGGCATCTGAGGCATCTGCGTCATGTTCGTTGGTATGCTTTGCGAGATATTGAGGTTCAATGGTGGTCCCGGTATGCTTTGAGGCATATTTTGCGTACTTGACAGGTTCTCACCGTGTGCTCGAAGGTTTTGCGTTGGTCCCATGTTTTGCGCATTTGACATATTCTGCGGTATGTTCGGCGGCATCTGCATACTCTGTGATAAGTTTTGCGGCACATTCTGAACAGGAGGAACATTGGGTGTGTACTGCATATTAAGTGGCAGTCCTTGGTGCGTTGGAGACATGATCTGCGAGTTCTGCATGCCCTGCGAACCAGTCGAAGCACAAATACCACTGTTCTGCATCGACTGTGACAAATTACGTGGCATATTTTGACTCATATCGTTCATATTTAACGACTGCGACGTGGTCAAATTCAGCTGCTGTTCGGGCTCCTTCATATCTTCGTTAGATGGTGACATGGCTGGTTCTATTGGCATAGGTTCCAACTTTAATGGCTGATTCATAGCTAAAGGAACATCTTCTATTTGATCCTTCGTTTCTACTGATTCTTCCAATAACGGTTTCTTTTCCAAAGTGTGGATAACAGGAACAGAAATTGGTAAAGTCTGTATAGGCGTTGGTATGGGGGTAGAAACTGGAGTTGGTTCAGAAGGCTCTTCCGGTGTGGTTACTGCTGGACTAACAGGCTCTTCAGTTGGCACTGTAACAGGAGTAGGTTGATTTTCATTCGTATCACCTTCTCCTTCCCTTTCAGGTTCATCCATGAGAGAGTTGCTATCGGTCGTGAGAGACTCCGAGGGACTCTCAGGACGTTCACCAGGACGTTTTCGCTTCTGAGACTCCTTGTCCTCGTCCACTTCATCCGTCTGAGGTCGTTTTTGACCTTTCTTCGGCGTCTCTGGCTTACTAGATTTTTTCTTATTCTTGTCTGGCGTCTGTTGCTGTTGCTGCTGTTTTTCCTGATCAGGAGTATCCGTTCCTCCTGTACGTCGTGGTCTTGCAGGTCTAGGCGTTTCCTTAGCCTTGTTTCTTGTACGCATTCTCCCTGGGCTATCTGGTGATTCCGCAGGCACAGGGCGGAACAGATATGGTGGCGCAGGCGGTAGTTCTCCGGTCTTCTTCAAATGTGTCCTGCATTCCGTACAAAGCAATAACCTGTCCTTGCCAGCTACCTGATAATCCTTCGAATTAGTCGAAAAACAATGTTGACACGAATGCGTTGCTCCGTTAGTGTTTGTGTCTCTGGAATCACTATCCTCTTCCGAGTTATCGTCTTCTGTTACGGAACTAATTTCCCCACCAGGATTATTGCTCGCAGGTGTCCCAACAGGTACAGTTTCCGGTTCTGAGACAGGCTCCTTCTGATTGACGTTAGCTGGTGGAGTATCTTTGGGTGGAGTTGGCACCTCTTCTTTGGGAGTGCCAGCACGCGAGTTTCGCGTGTTACGAATTCTCCTAAGCGAACCCTGTCGTCTTCTTCGATGAGGTCGGTTATTATTCGCTCCTGGTGTTTTCTTCCATAAATAGTAGAATTCAACCAATTCCGGCTAAAAGTAAAGGAAGAAAGAAGCTTTGCTACCTATTCTCTCGAGTCTCACTTTACTTTCTCTCAAATTTCATTACCGTGTCTTTATGAGGTAAGAGATCCTTTCTGATTCTTGAGAAATTTTTTCCAAATTGCCGAAGTCCTTTGACGAAGCGTTTCTATAGGACAGATCGATGACCAATTAAATGGAAGTCTGATCTTTCCTTTCCAATTATGAGATCACATACGTACAATCACGATAAAGAAACTACTTAATCAATTTTCCAGATTTTGTCACTTCTACTTACAGTTTCCTCCTCAGACCACTTTTTATCGATGCCTTTAGGTACAGGACATTTAACCAAAGCTTGCAATGCTCTTCCTGGATCATAGCCAGAGTCGTGCAAGATATCCAGAGCATTGATAGTCGTGTCGTCACGGGAAGCAGCCACACAACCGTCATCCGGGGATCCTCCATCACACATACCAGCAAACGCAGCCATAGATCGAGCTGCCCTTAAGTACATCAGAAGATCCCCGTCCAATGCCATAGCTGGAATCCATCTTAGCTCCTCTCGTTCTTTAGAAAACTCTGGATCAGGAAGCAGCTCTCCAGGAGGTATACCCGGCCGATACTCAGGCAAACGGGCCTGACAAGAAACCAATTCCTGTACCCAAAATTCGGGATTGTGCGTGGTTAGCACCAATGCCAAAGCGAGTTAGTTGTACGCACCTATACTCTGGCTTGCTTTTCGAAACTACACGAGCCAGTATAATTTTTTTCCATTCTGTTCCGTTTGTTACAATACTGGTACGAGAAGTAGCGTGAGTACTTTTATATTTGTGTACAAACTAATGATTATAAATATACGTATATATATAAGCATGAGAAACAAGACAAGTTAAAAAGATAACATATAATTATTATATACACGTGTTGAGACTTGGTACCAACAATTTAACAACAATTAGTCATGTTCATGTGTATATAAATTAAAGCTACAAGTTAATCTCCACTCGAACAAAAAACACATTCACTGTAACATATTTTCTAATATGAGCAGATGAACATGAATTGAGAAAATCATAGCTAACGAATGAAAAACAATTATTTCACAAACAAATGTAACAAGATGACATTTACAAGATGAGAAGAAATTGTGATAAAATGATTATTCTGCGACTAAATACTTCTTCACAAAGTTCCTAACTTTAATATTTCGTAGATGGTTCAAGTAACCAATGGGTTATTACATAAAAATAAAATATTTTATAATTTCACCGTGACTGAAAACCACTATAAATATAATCTTACACTTATACAATATTATCCTATAATATTATTGTTAGAATGCTCTGTCATAATAACTTTCATCATATTTAGGGTCTTCCAACAACAGTAGCAAATTCAGGGATAATACTTGCGATGTGATTTAAGTGTTGTGGCTGTACTGTTAAGCAAGTAAAAAATTATAATTGTGACTTAAAGAATAACTATCATTGTTATTTGAACCATCGGCATACAACAAAGCTGTATAAGGAATAGGTAGGTATTTGTGCCATATAATGTTCAACTCTACAATTTTTTCTTTCAATGTGTATAAATATAAGATAGATATTAAGATCGCAACTTCTGAATGAAAATTCTTCTTATGAATATGAATTTCAAGCACTAAGAAAACACTGGTGTTTCAATTATTCTAAACCTGTAACTAAGTACACGCCATGCACTTTAACAATTCTTGAAAATAATATGTTGACTACACTGAATAGCATTGCAAAATAATTATACATTCTTATAAGAACTACGCAAGTATATCTTCATTTTTAGTTTTTTCTAAAGATATGTAAACTAATTGGGTACTAAAATATTTATAGTATGCATAAACAATGTTTATGAATTATTAATGACACCTGATATACATATGATAATCTATTATAAAAAACAAAATTTTCAATGTATAAAGTAAACATTTCTTACATTCACGAATAACTATTAGCTTAAAAATTACTTCTTTTGCTTATTTAATTCACACATATTATCAATTAATACATACATATTGTTACTAATAACACAGTTTCAAACATCTCTGTTTCATACAAAGTTGTTTAAAACTATAAGTCCTTCAACAACTCTTGAATATACACATACCTGACAATGTAGGTAACAAATGACTTGAATATCACCCTAATTTTAGTTACATATAAGGGAAGAGTGAAATACATAAATGAGGAGCAATTACCATTGAACATATTAGGTATTGTGAAAAAAATGGTGTCACAATTACCTGGTGCTTCAATGATGAACTCTGCCTTATCTATACATTCAGAATACACATTTCAGGAGAACAAGCCTTGAGTTAGGTACATTGTGCAATATAGCTAAGTAGCAAAAAAGGTTTTCAAGGTATATGGCAAACCTGGTGCGAAGGGCCAACCCGAATCTCGCCCTGGGTGCCGGCAGACATCTCCTCCTCCTCCGAAGCTCCACCGTCTTTCTCCAGTGTTTCAAGTGGCTTCTATCTTGGATTTTCAGTAAATTCCTATCATCCACCCCCTGAACTATATAGTCATTCTATCAGTATATTTATAATAACTGTTTAAGAAAAAGTACTGCTAACATGCTTCCTCTTTTTTTTTTTTAATTAATGACCCTTTTTTCTATTATGATGTCAGTTATTATGGCATTATATTTTATTTTCCTCAAAGTAATAGCTACATTATGCAAATAATACCTTAAAGATATAAGTAAGTTTTTATAACATCATTTGTCATTTTCTTTTGAAGCACCTTATCCTATGTATGTTCTGCTCCCTAATGGCTCTACCATTTCTTGTCTCAAGTACAACTAAAATATTTCTGAACTACAAGATATCAATATGGAAAGCACCCTACAAAAGGAATAAAATATAACTATCAAATGTTTATTTGAAAAATTACATCCAACGGCTTGTTTCATCAACACCTGAACAAAGTATAAATTTATGCAACGCAATTGAAATTAATGAAAGTACCTATACATATATATGTGTGTGTGTATATATACATGAACAAAATCCTGAAAAAATCAACCGTCTCATGTATACAATAGTGAAAAAAAGCCGTATGTTCACAATCTCATGATTTACAAAAAGGAAACCAAATCCTCTTTCAATAACCCATCTTAACACACTAGCAATTACAATATATATCTCTACTTTCTTTAAGTGGTCTTGAGTCACGGTGAAAGCGGTATAGTTGGCATAAATGAGTTTTACATATAAAATCGAGACGCTTTATCGTCATCGTAACGCGATTGAAGCGTGCCAAGGAGCGATGGACATTGTAAAATTTTTCATTGACTCATCGACGTGCAATGTGAGAATACAGAGAGAAAAAAACCAACTATTTACACAATTTCGTCATATATGCAGAAAATACGAAAAAGGAACAGGAACACCGTGTTCGAGCGGTAAGTTAATTATCGAATCCCGTTTCCACAGATTATAGGTTACGTGATAGAATTTTTCGTCACATCGCACCTCGTCCTGCCGGACTTCCGGGAGAATCGTTAAAATAAAGTGAAAAGCCATAAAATTTCAAGGCAAACTCACCCGTGATTAATGTTTCAACGACGTGCTTGCATTGTTTCCCCTAACGCAACTTCCTTCCACACGTAAGCGTTATACACAACTGCGATTCACACCGATGAATAGCCAATAAATATTTTAAGATTCACTACTAATTAACCATCGAGCACTACAGAATAATCTTACACAAATCAGTAGCCACAACACCCAAACGCAGCCATCTTGTACTGCGTTTTGTTTCGTTTTTCTTCTGTGGGGGTGCGTTCCGATTCCGCGTATTCCTTCGTTTCCTTTTCACAATACTTTTTCGGTGGCAATTTAAAAATTTGAAAAATTATTGTATTCTGTTCTATCACAGAGAGTAGAGAATTATATCACAAAAAACTGAAGGAATATTTAATATATGTAAAGAAAACTTAATCTGAATGGACGATTTGAAATCTTTCGAAGACAATTTTTTTAATGTTAAAAATTACAAATGTTAGATGTAGATTTTTTTAAATATGACCTTAGGTCTCTCACGTCTTATGTAATTATTTGATAATTAATAATATTAAAGAATTCAACGTTACAGGTTATGGGTTATAAGTAGACTGCATATTTTTATGTATTTATGGGAAATTTGAAGAAATGCTTCTTTTTAGGTTTAATTTTGTAGTATCTTTTCACTACTTGTAAAATAGATAAATATGTAATTAGCTGACTGTTGTATTTTTTTCCCTGTGTAACATTATTAATAAAAATGAAACAATACTTTCCTACATTTTATAAAACAAATTATCATTTAGTTATAGAAATTTAAATATAAAGAAATTATTTGCAGAAATGATTTTCATTTTGTACTATCTTTTTACTACCTTTAAAATAGAAAAAATATAACAATGAGAAAGTTTATTTAAAATTAGACTATTATATTTAACAATAGAGTACCAATAGCGCCAATGATCCCTTCTCTCATTATCAACATCTAGTTATACATGTCAGTATTGTGCTGTGCTCTTTCACATTTTGTACGATCGAATTGCAAATTTCCGATAATTCTATCGAATAAAATAAAATATACTGCAAACATGGGTAAAAAGTCAGCACTTTTGTTAATAGCTGATGGCTCTGAAGAAATGGAAGCCGTAATAACAACGGATGTCTTACGTCGAGCTGGAGTAAGTTTTTTTATTACATATAACCTTAAACTACATATTTGCGTTTTAGATTTTAACACGCAAATTTTTTGTTAAATATAGTACTTAATAAAAAATAACATCTTTCTCATTAATGTCAGTACATGAAATATTAATTTAAGTTATAGATCATTATTTGTGAAAGAAACTCTATGCAATCTTTTGTTATTAAAAATTGTATTTTTAGGTTGATGTTACTATTGCTGGTCTTACTGAGAGCTCATGTGTCAAATGCAGCCGTGATGTGAAAATATGTGTTGATGCAAAACTTCAAGATGCAGTTAATCAAAAATATGATGTTGTAATATTGCCTGGCGGTTTAGGTGGTTCAAAGGCATTTGCAGATGTAAGTAAAATTAATGCTTATGTTTGAACATATATTAATTATCTTTTCTTTGCTTCGTATAGTCTGCAGAAGTAGGAAAGTTGCTACAACAACAAGAACAAGAAAACAGACTTATTGCTGCTATTTGTGCTGCACCAACTGCATTAAAGGCTCATGGTATTGCAAAAGGAAAACAAGTCACATCATATCCTGCAATGAAAGATCAATTGACAGATTATTATAAATATTTGGAAGATAAAGTTGTAACTGATGGTATGCATCTATTCATAAAGTTCTACTTATTATGCAACAAATATTTTATTTATATACATTTTAGGTAATTTGATTACTAGCAGAGGCCCAGCAACTGCATTTGCTTTTGGCTTAGTTATTGCTGAAAAATTGATTGACAAAGAAACAGCAGATAATGTAGCAAAAGCTATGTTGTATACAGAGTAAAAATCAATTTAACCCTTGCATAAGCGTGTTATGTATATTATATGCATATGTTATTCATAATGGATAATAAATAATAATAATAAATTAATATATATTGTAATTGTGGTATATTATTTTCCATTTTGCATAAATTCAGTAACTAAATGTATTTCCATTCAAAATACCCGCCCATACGGTTGCCATTTTAATCAAATTTATCGAAAATTCAACATCTTCATTATTACATAGTCAATGATTCAAATATTTGACATTTTACACGTGTCGATACAAACTAATGTATATATGTTACTAATTATTGAAAAGACAAATGTTCTATAAATTAAAAATATATTAAAACAAAACTGATGCTTGAGAAAAATGTTTGAGAGTGATGATTGGGATCTTGATCAGGTAAATTAAAAGCATTTCTTGTGTCAAATTTTATAAGTTTTGTGAAATAATTGTAAAAATATTCTAAATAAAATATTTGTCCTTATGAGATACTAACGAAGTAATTACACAAATAATCTTTTAATGTATATTTTTAGGATTTCTTGAATGATGTAGATGAGAAAGTAAATAATTATTATTCTCAAAAGGATAACCAAGAAAGTGAACCTAAAAAACGTAAAATAGATATAAATGATGATTCAATTTTTTCATTTGACCATGATGTATCATGGAAAGAAAGTACCACAAATAAAAGTACAGAGAAATGTGATGAAAATAAAGACTCAAGAAAGAATTTAATTTTTGAAATATTTAATAAGAATGAATTTAAAAATGCGTTCAGTGATTTGGAAAATTTATGTGATAGTACTTCATCAAACACCTCTGTGAATCAAGTACAAAGCTGTAAAAATAATCAATTACCTAGGAAAAATTTAGTACTTGGAATACTCAAAAACAAAAATATACAGGATAAAGTGATAGAAAATAATACAAAGAATTTAGAGTTAAAAAAAGCTGTACCAAAAATTAATGAAAAGTTAGAAAATACAGTATTCAATAATGAAAAAAAATGTCAAATCTCTAAGACTACTTCTAAAATTGAAAATAGATCAAGTAATGATAATTCTAAACCACCTTTGTTTGAGAATTCAAAGAAACAGTTACTGTGTAATGTGTTAAAGCAGAACCCTATAGACAATATACAAGCCAAAAATGATATTACAAAAAACTATTTACCTATATTTAAACCACAAATAGAGTCTAATAAGAAGATGACATTAATCAGAAAATTTCCTGGTCCAGCTGGGTTATTACCAGATGATATAGACACTAATATATCATGTATTTCATATTTTAATAGTTTGGAAGAAAGTGAGATGACAACAAAAGAGACTGATTCAAGTAATCTATCTGAATATTGTTCTCAAAATACAAAAAATCTATTTACAGAAGGTCCTTGGCAATTAATGTTGGGTGATTTACCAGATAATTTTCTGAAAGGTCATGATATTGCTACTACTAAACAAATAGCAAATATGAATGGTTTCAATAGTACAAAAGTTGAATTTTTGGCAGGAATAATAGAACATATAGACTATAGTCATGATAATCCCCCTATTGTTTTGAAAGATTTCACGGATAAAATTCATGGAATTGTACATAAAGATATACCACTTAAATATCCTGATTTGTTAGAACCTAATGTTGTTGTACTATTACATGATGTAGGCCTTTTAAGAACTTCTGGAACTTTTGTTTTGAATAAATATCAAATTCTAATTTCACCCTCCAGTTTGTTAGCAATTTATACTAGCGAAGGCACAATAGAACGTACAGAGTACATGGAAGCAATTTTTGGAAATATTTCAGATGGTAGAATGAAGACAGAAGGAAAAGAGAAAGCAAATTGCATTTCTGCAACAGTTTTGGAGGCACACCCATCAAAAGGTGATAGTCAGTTTATTGAGAAAAACAATAGTAATAATAAAAAGCCAATATATTTCAGAAAGAATATAGAAAGTGTTACTAAAAAAGATTCAAGTTTCTCTACAAATTCGAACGAAATAGACGAAAATACAGACGAACCAATGGATTTTGACACTGATGTATCTTTTTCAGTGTCTTTCAATAAAATTACAGACACACAAGTTGAAAAGAATTTTAATACTTCAATGTCTAAAAATTTGGAGCATGCAAAGGAAGAAAGTAAGAAACAAAAATCTAAACTGTCACTAACAAAACAAAAGAATAACATACAGAATGATGATATAGAAAGAGCTAAAGATTTATTAAGATCTTTGAAAAGATCTACTCCAGATATAAATGAGAAAAAATTCTTTTCTCGTAATTTCAAAATTTTACAAACAAATGCTGAGCATTCAACAGCAGCAAATACCTCTCTTAAACGAACTGAGTCTGACAAATTAAATGATATGTTGTTTGAAAAAATAGGTATTGATAAATGCCCAGAAAAAACTGTTTCTTCAGCTTGTCATAAAGAAGTGGAACGTTCTTCTCCTTTTATACGATCTAAATTACTGCAGTTTAAAAATGCTGATACACTAACACTTCCAGAAAATTCTGCATCTACAGCTACATTAGATTCACCGAAAATACCTGATAAGTTGGCAGAAAAAGAGCTTCTCGGAACTTCAAAATCTATGTGTGATATATCTCGCGATACCGAAAATGACTCTGACGATGAAATGTTATCTCTGTTAGATATGGACATCATTTTCAGCAATTACAGTAATAAAAATTAAACATCGTTGACACAATGTCGTGGACAACTTAACAGTTCGTTGAAAATCGAAAAGTTTTGGAAGATTTTATATTTACATACATTTACATTGCGTTACTTACATGCTATTGCAGAAATAAGGTACTTGTAAATACTACATACTTCAATTTTTTGTACATAAAAGAATAAATATATTTTTTTACTTTAAACAGAATATTGCAAATGCAGAAATTCTTCAACATAATAATATAAAATATGTTAATAAAATCATGAGTATGAATTTACATATTTAAATATATTTCACTAATACGAAACAGACAATTAGAAACAAGATACTAAAATTAACTATTGTATCATTATAACATTGAATATTCCATGCATTCTTATCTCATAGTTCAAGATTCTTTATTCATTAACTTCCAGATAAACGTTGTTTTACTGACATAAATGATAGCTTTGACCAAGAGAATTCTCATTCCTGTTATCTGCTACTGAATATCATTACAGTCTTCAATCGTAAATCGGTCGATCGGCAATTATCAGCATTATTTTTATACCGACTTCGGAAATCCATTTACAAAATTTTTCCAATTTGTTTATTGTGAACTATTGTTATTGCAAATGACCTATTATTATTCACCCATTTTATTTCATTGTGTCTGATAGTTCCTTCACAAACTCGTCGGTGGAAGCGATAAGATTGGGCAGTTGTCCAAATTTTTTACACGACTGAGAGCAACGTAGATCTTGGTGAAATTTTTTTTGCCAAGATCAATTACTCTATTTAGCGTAGTCTCTTGTAATTTATATACCGTTACTGTCCAACTTAGAATTAAGGGTAATATTCTTCGCTCAATTTCTCCATAACCTTCGTTGTTACTACTGGAGATATTGAAATGTAGCTATCAGTATCTTTGAATCTGCTTGCAATGGATTCACCGTCAAATTATGTAAGTATTAATACTCCGACAATTTTCCCACTTTTAGCTGATTTCTTCGAAGTGCTGACCATGTAAATTCATTTACGATTTTCATTGTGTCGTTTATCAAACCATCAGAAATTGATATGTTTCGTCCCAACATAACTCGTGATTCCTTGGCTGATTTTATTGTATGCAATGGTCCTCTAGAATTACTCCTTCCTCGTGTATTGCATTCAAAGCAGCAGCCTGCGAGCGCTATTTCAGTAATTTACTCTGCATGAGGAAATTGTTCGACGATTGTGATTTTCAATATAGGCTTCAACTCGTGTTTCCGCCATAAAAAACATTATTCTCCAGATTCGTTTAAAAGGATTAAAAATTGAAATAAATAATAAATAGATAAAAATAAATGACCACTAATACACTACTAATATATAAATCGCTAATAATATATAATACGCTAATAATCTGTTTCTATTTATAATTATATAACATCGATAATTGTAATGATTGTATCTTAAGTTAGTGACTAGCTTGATGTACACATAATTTCCTTAATCTGTCCACTATTAATACATTGAGTGCAATTTGTATCCGCTCGGATACAAGCGACGCTTACTAATTTGGCCATTATTAAAACATGTTCTTGGTAACATTGTGCTATAATATATCGCAATTTAATGCAATAAAATATAAATTTGTTGAAATTTGAATCATATAAAGATTGAAATTTATTAATATAGACCTCAAGTATTGCTAAACTAGAAACATTTCACGGCATTTTGCGTCGTCTTCGAAAAGGTTGCAATATATTGAATATGTTGTGCTGTAAGTAAGTAGGTGACTTGAACCATTATTGCATATGTGTCCGAATATAATATAAATAAAAAAGAAATTATTTTATACTTTTTAGCGCATTTAGGAGTGGATAATATGTTTTTTTGCGAAAAATTTGTTATTTAAAAAATACTGTCGGGGATGTATTTTGCGATATTTGATTAGATACTTTTCAATGGAACTATCTAAATATTTGTTATTTAATGCAAATTACGTTAAAAGAGAGATAACTAGTGAAATTTGGAAATAATATAGGCGATTAAATATTTCGAGGACACTTGAAGGTGCAGACTTGCATCAGCAATGATCTTAATTTCACTGACATTAGCCTGGATATCAGCCCTCGCCGATCACAAGCGTAGGACCGATGATGCAGAATCTTCATAAGTGAGATCTTTATAATACAACCCGCATGTACGCCAATGGGGATCTATTGGATCAACCTTGATATGCCCTGATTATCCGATGGTAGGCATCTAGGCGTACGATCGTGTGATTATGAAGTGCAATTTACTCGCATTAGTTTCGTGAGACAGATACCTGCGTTATAATAAAATCATACAGCATATGAGCATGCGGGTGAAAACACGTAAATGAAAATTAATTTGTGATTACACGATCCGCTAGTTAAACCAGAAAGTAATGCAGATATTTGATCTTATGATAAGAAAGCAACAAACATCATCGACGCGAAGAGTGGAAATGATGATTTCAGAGCTAATTCCTATTCATTGTACTTTGAATTATGATAATTTACTTTTTCGCTTCCTCTTTTCATGATTGATTTGAAAATTTCTAAAGAAATACAAACTTTTAATCTTATAACTGGTCTGAAAAGTGTTTTTCTGTAGGTAGATTTTCCAATGATTCATATTCCATTCCATCGATAAATTTTATGTTGAACGAAGTTCGATCTCTAATCTCGCCCTCGGTATTGCAAAAAATTCCATATAATTATGTACTTACGTAAGATTTCAAATAGAATCAAAAGAATTTTAAATTACAGTCAGAGTTCTTTTTGCAGCGTTTTCTAATTAGAGAGTAATTTGTAGCTTTCCAGACATATACTGATGATTTTCAAGAATGTTTTCAATGTGGTAATTTATGGACCTTATATTTGTTCTAATAAAACAAATGTCTAAAGTATGTGCAAATGTACTTCATTATTGATTTGAGCTCATTTAATTCATTGTTTTGTTGTACCTGCAAATATAAATTGCGCCATTTATAAATTTAAAGAGACATTCGATAAGCTTGACTGATTAAGGTGTAAACGAGACAGTAATCTTGTAAGGGTATGCAATGCAGATACGTAGATTCGTCAAAAAATATTTATTTTGTTTAGAAAACGTTTAAGATCGGAGCACTGTCGTCGTGATCTTCTCTTGATTGATTGTGATTTTTATAAATACCTACATTTGATTGATTAAAAGTTTTATTCTTATATTATATTGTACGTTTATAATTCAAAATCCATACTTCCAAAATATTTCTCCCATCCTCATTTTTGATCTAAAAGCAGAAAAAATTAACTTTATAGGAATTATTAGTTTCATAAATTATGATTCTTTCTCTATTTTAAGTTCACTAACCTATGAAGTAATTACATCTTTAGCGCCATTATATTATTTATTAACCGTAAGGATTAGTGAAATAGCAATAAATAAATATTTATTCTTCCTTTACTTTTTGATTTTCAAGAAGTATTGGCCATTAGTTGCGGCAAAATTTTACGACATAATATAATAACACGGATGTCAGAAAATAACATATTATGATCAATAATTTTCGAAATTAAAATCAGCAACCGGTAAGATTACCGCAAATGACAGTGGCTCATGTTAGACTGTGTGTCTCGAGATAAGCGATCATGTTGAGGATGTCTCTGCTGATGAGCGCGACACGTAACAATGTTATTATCAGGCATTTTCGCGATATTATTCGCATATCTTTTTATCTGAAATATCGCTGTTTGATAAATATATCTCAGACTGTATGCTTGCTCTATTTTATTACACCCATTTCTAAATGGAAAATATATGGTTATTTACATATCATACATTCGGCCTATTTATTCGCCAAATAGTAGAAACTAAAATTCGACGTTCATATAAAAAAGTAAAACCCGAAATATTTTAAATCTATTAAATAGGCTCCTTTTTTGTCTAGACCAAGTTTACACAAAATTTTTGAGCGCTCAAGTTGCGTCAATCCAAAATTTTGCAGCAATAAACACTATTAGTATCTATTCTTGTTATTATTATTATTTGAGCGTTTTGTGTTAATTGCCATCACGTGCAAAACTAATCCATATTGACAATCCCTTATCATTATTAAATCGCCATTAATATTCGAAAAGCCGCAATTACGAGCAAAAATATATCAATTTGAAAGGTATTTTGAGTTGTAGTTGACAAGGAAGATATTGTGGATATTAAACGATAAGCTTGGATGTTTAAGTGCCAAAATAGAATTAGGCCTTCAAACCACGCGCTACTGTCTTGTCTGTAAGAAATGAATGTGTGTCCTAAATAATAATGCACGAGGAAAAACGTAAAACAATATATTGCAGTATAGAAAATGATGGAAATAAAAGATATTAAAAAGAAATTATATCAAATATGTATTAAGGTAAGATAATTTTATAAATTATATAATTATATCAACACAATTATATAAAAACGACTTCAGATAAAGTCGGATCTCAGATTAACGCAAAGTGATTTATGTGATTAAGCACTAAATCAATTATATGTTTAATCTAACAAATTATCTGTGAACGTCGTCGATTGACATTTACTTTTGTCCAGACAAAATAAAATGTTTCACAGAATAAAAGAAAAAAACAGGTTTTACAATAAGCTAAATGCATTACCTCTGTTGTTGAAAACGCGAAATAATCTCATCGTATATGAACAGCTATGCGAAATTTTCATTAACGAGTAGATGTTAATTTGCATCTCCGAGTACTTGTCAATGCATTGCAGCTACTCGTCATTTGCAGTTGCTATCGTAATTCATCTTTTACGCGGAACGTTGTGAAACTAGAAAATAAATAATAATCTCTAAATACAAGTTCTTCACCGGTATATGATCTACATCAAAGATTTTTCTCTCTTTTTTAATTAATCACATATACCTTTCTTCTATTACATTATCTTTTCCTCTCATTATGAAGCAACAAATTGACGAAATATATAATTCTGTATAATAATGAGGTAAATAGTTTAAGAACTATTTTATGCTTTTTATAAATAAATAGCTTTCATCTCTCTTATATTTCCAAAATAGCAATATATGATTTATACCAACAATTAATTTTAATTAATTATATATAAATTTCGATTATTATCTTTATCTTTTTTTATCACGAGATTATAAGATATTACAAGATAACAAATTATTTCAATGAAATATACAATGTATCAGTAAAATCAATAAGTAGTGTATTAATAAAATATCATTGCCATGCTTCCGGATATATGTAAGTGAAAGGCATTTCTTTATCGAACAGTATCGCGCGTGCTGTATGATACATGAAACGCTCGAGTGAATGAATTTCCACCTCACAGACTTATTGACGTCAATGAAGTGATATCACTAAAATCTATCAGTAAAACTGACGAAAATATTTGTACACTTACTATAACCAATTTTTATGTATACATTATAGGTGTTATATAAAACATTTCGAAATTTCGTTATTGCTCTAATGAGACATGATTATCTTCATTATATTTGTTAAATCTGAAACTGATCTGAAAATATATATAGAAGTTACAAAATAGTTACTACAAACATATATTTAGTAAAATATTAATATAAAACATAAATAGCCATTTAAAACATGTAATAAGTGTTAAAGATGATCGTACTGGATATTTAGGCTTATTAATAAATTGCAGATTTTTATAGACGGTGGCTACAAAAAATATTTGCACATAGCCTTATTTTTCAATCAAGCCATTTTTTATCAGATTCTATATTTCATTTTCGTAGTATCAAATTATTGTAATCATAATGAAAATATTAGTAAATGACATGCTATTTAATATACTTGGAGCTAATTAATCACTACATAAATGTTGCAATGAATACGATTATGTGTAAACATCTTTAGTGTATTTATAGGAAATTTGAAGGTGCAAGAATGTACACAATGCATACAATATGCAAAAATATATGAAATATTCAAAGTAGAGTATTTATTATGATATTTACTAGATAAAACAAATTTCTATTAATACCGATCTAAATACTTTTGTGATTTCTACAAAATACGTACTTCCACTAAATACGTTGTGGCTTCCATGCACATTTTCAGATTTATTTCAGGCTGTACCAATATAACCGTGATAACCGGTCTCATTACACTGTTACTGAAATTTCAAGATGTTTCGTATAACACACAGAATATAGTGGTAAAAGATTTCTACAAGTGTTCGAATACTTTCGTAAGTTGCTGTACGTGCTCTTGATTTGTTCAAATAATCGTGTTTTCACCTGCTCCCATTTGCGAAATTAGTTCGTCGATTTGACGTAAGTCACGTGTCGCCACAGGAAAAGGAGTTAAATATGTATCGGTGTGCGATCTATTGGTAAGTTCTGCCGCGAGAAAAGTGAGCGATCGTCGATAGCTAGACCGAGAGGGGATAAATTCGTACACCAGAGTTACAGGAGAGGTACAGAATGGCACAGTATAGCCGGGTGCGTGGCGCGAAACAGGTAGTGGTGCATTCGTTGAAATGATAGGACACTTCGATTGATTGAATCTATCTAGAATTTTCTTGTACTATCACGAAACCATTTTAACAAAACGTTTGATATTCCCGATCGATCTTCGTAAAGTGTACATTATCGATTTTTGATTCGATCACGATTAAAACGTCGACCTTGTGACATTTCCTACTATAATTCGATATATTGATACCATACACGATTCGATATATATCATTGTTGATTTTGACTTCAATATTTCCTTTTAATGATCCTTGAAGTAAAGAAGTAAAATCGATAAGTCGTAATCATAGTGAGTTTACGATTTAGTATCGGTAATATTGAACACAAAAGCGAGCAAAAATTACAGCCAAGAACTTTACTTGTAAATCTTTCGCGTTTCTTGTGAAGATATAGTAGCGGTGAAAATTGCTCGATTAAAAGTTCGTTGGGAATGCACGTACTCGTGCACAAGCCTTGGACTACGTCCCCGTGAAAATAAAGGGATTGGACCAAGGGAAGGATTACTAAAAATTCGAGTATGTTTCTTCTATTTATACAACAGCTACAAAAGCTATTTGTACATTATTGCATTTGCTGTAATACTCACATATTAATTAATTAGATTCAAGTATGATAAATTTCGTATCCTATAATAGTACTTTCATGCGATTACAAAAAATTAACATTATGAATAAAGAATGTATAGATGCTGATGACAATTGCAAAATAAGAATATGTACAAATTTTTTTTGTAGCCACTGTAAATATTTCATACGTTTTCAGCACTCATTCTAAGGTGTATTCACTATAGCATAAACAACATCAAATTTGCGATATTATTTATCAATTTATGTTGCGATAATTGCTTTCTTCGATAATAAATGAAGAATAGAAGACTATTTCTTGTATTCTCTTTATAACGTAAACTGCACACAATTTTGTACTTATTTCGGTAAGCAAATCAGTAAGTAAAAATATTTTTTAGTATCTATTTATTTATCGCCAACTATTTAATTGTACCATCACATTTCACAAACTAATCTTTCATTTGTTTTTGTTTTATAGAATCTTGATTAATTTTACCATCAAAATATAATTTCCGATTGTTCCAAATAATGTAACGATATACATACATTCGCCGATTTATTCTAGCCATTGATAAAAATGAACCGGAAACAAGCAACCATAGTGAAAGTAACAGTTTAATTCATCAATCAGTAGAGTTTGAACATTTAAATCAGCACGAATGAAAAGGAAAAGTAGCTTTTTATAAACGATACACGCAACCGCGAATTTTTCTATGAGACATCAATTTCTGTTTCTCTTTTCCATTTCTCATTCACAGATCACTGATCTTTGCGAAAGAACGAGTTACTAAAGTTGCGGGTATTGCATTATGCAATGACTTGTACCTAAAAGTATAGAAGCGCGAGTTGCATTTCTAATGACATGGTAAATAACACCATTCGCATAAAAGCCTTTCGTGACACGCATTTCACAATAAAATGGACATTGCATTGCCGTTATCGGCTCCATGCAACTATGTATAAACAATAATGTTTATACATAGTATGGAGTAATAGCCATGCAAATATCATATTTCCACAATACTACTATGTCTCCTTTACCTTGGAATTTATGTACTGATTACTGATAAATTAGGTTTAAACGTATTACTTTTGTTATCGCTAAAATGTACTTCACATACATACATAAAAAACAAATTATTATCTTTACACTCTTTTGTCAATGCCTATACATTGCGCCCTAGTATAAATTTCATTCAGAGTAATGAGTAAATTAATTTTTTTTATAACTTCTTTATAAAATGAAAAAATAAAGTCGATAAATTATTGGGTTTCTTGTAATTAAACGTCGAAAGAACTATTTAACTATAATACACTTACTTATTACAATAGAATGTCGAAGAAAGTACTTACATACCATATTCAAATATACAAATTGTCTTTTTTTTTTTAAGAATTGTTCTATTACATATCAATTGTTCTATTACATATATTAACAGTATCTTTTATTTGACAAAATGTCGGCAATATATTGTTCTATATTAGAAGTTCTTGAAATTATCATAAATATATTACCTTTGTCATAGTAAATTTTAATACGCCTGAAATATGTTGCAGATATTTTCGGCTGTTCTTGCAATTGAAGTTTTAATCCGTTGATAGAAACTTGGAAAACTCTGATACAGAACTAACACGAATTGTGACTTAAAAGTAATGTTCACCGTTCTATACAATTTTTACTACGAAGTCAGATGAAGTTTATCGAGTTAATTAGAGCTATTAGTATACGTAGAATTCCATTAAATAAAAATGCGTTCACGTATAAGTCAGGATCGTAATTATTTCTCTGTTATATCAAGATCTGAATGACGTTAGAATACAAAAACAAATTATCGTTATTAGTCGTCATTTTATGTTAAAAATGACAATTCAAGCGGAAGATATTGCGACAGCCTACATCTTAGAATCTTTTTCTACAATGAATGAATAACATACTATGAACGCGTGTGTAACAGATGGTAAATAAAAGAACTAATCATCTAAGAATACTTTAGCCAGCATGATTATTGTACGATAACAGTGAAATAACAGGACACGTGCTTTCAATCCTATTTTATCTTATTCTTCAACCGGTTCATACTAGAATGATATCACAGAGAAAAAAATATATGTCCATGATGCAGCTTTCCAATGTATCGCAATTTGATTTCCGATACAATCAAACCTTGGACAGTTGTTGAAAAAATGTCCACAACTCTGTTTGATATTACTGATTGTGAAATTTATACAAAGCTTTGATACGAAAAGGTGAACTACGAACACGTTTATATCGTCATTGATCGAAGGAGCTGGACAAAAAAAAAAAGTTCTGCAAGGTCTACGGAGATCTTAAATCAGAAATGAGGAAATGAAAGGTGGCGAGACTGAACATGCTAAGAACTTCAATTTATGCAGTAAGAGCCAGATTAGATCGCTTGTATGCTTCTTGTTCTTTTGAGATAAACGTCAATCAAAAGAAGGATAAGTCTTTAGAGAACAGTTCTGTGCATAAAAGTTGTTTCAAAAATTTTTTTAGCATTACTCATTCATAGTCTGTTAATCCTTTGAATGAATATTTCAATTCTTTTTTCTTTAATAACAGATAATTGTACGATAGTTTAATAAATGATGGATCATTCGTCTTTATGACATAGACTCTCTGAAGATTATGTAGAAATTCTATGCTACTCAAAATCGAATTATCGTTGCATTAGAATCATTTATGCGCAGAGTGTACTTTTTGCAAAAACATATTTATCCTTGTGGTATGATATTATACGTTTTTTAATTTGTCGACTCAGTGTTAAAAATAACGATGAAGGCAGTGTGAAGAAAGAAACTGTCTTGTTAACAATAGAAAAGTATTATCTAAAAGGTAGAATAATTTAATTGGTCTGTTCACCGGTGTACGTAGATGGACATTCAAATTGTCTTGTTGTTCACTTGCATTTGGTTGTATTTGATCGAAAACTTGAATAACATTGCATAGATTAGTCAGTACACGTGGCTGGCTGTAATTTCGCCACTTGACTCGCCAACAACTTATTATGTGGTAATTCAAGTGCACGGTCACTGTAATCATGTTCAGTGTCGAACTACCTATTTGACCTACCTATCTGTTCTGGCAGTGTCTTCTTTCACGAAATAACCGCATTAGTATTCCTTCCGTACGCCGTTTAATTCCTCGCAAGGAACATGCTCATCTGTTCTTCATTTACAATTAGGTCTAACACGATCATTTAAACACGATCTTTTCATCTCTTTTGCATCTGATCATTTATTTATATGCGAAAGATCATTGATTTTCTAAAATTATCCAATAGCAAGTTCTCTTCATTTATGTGAAAATTTTACATTTTATTCTAGCTGCGGCTTGTACAAGCGGAAATCCGTATTTGACGGCGTCTCAAGTTTAAGAAAAGAACTTGAGAACTCGAAAGGACCATCAGCAGCAAAAGTTTAAAGTTATGACAACATCCAATGGTGAGTCATGTGTGACGTATATTCAAAAACATCTTCTGATTATATTTCTGCTGCTATCGATTTTTTAGTCTTCTCACGTATAAATTCTGGATGGAAAGGTCGAATCGAAGATATTGTTTCAAAATAGTTATGACAAGAATCTCTAAGATACCGCCATCAATTTAGAGATCTACATATTTTATCAAATAAAGAAGAAATTAAACTATATAGATTGCAGATTTACTTATGTATCTGTAGGAAATTCAAGGAATTATTACTCAAGAATATATACAATATTCAGAGCATACTACTGGTTATGATATTTAGCGGATGAAACAAATCTCTGCGTAGATTTCACTTCTTTCACTTCTGTGTTCATAAAAAAGTAAATTTGCATATTTCATAAACACCCACAACTCAGTTACTGAAAGTAAACACATCCTGAAACGGAAGGAGATATTGAAGCAAATAAAATATTATTCTAATGATAAAATAAAAAAGTAAATAAAACAATGATACGTTGATAAAATAAGCAATTGTTTGTAAACGGCACCAATCCACGTGTTCGCTAATCTTTCGAACTGACAATAGCGTCAACAACCGAGATTCGCGAACCTTCAAATACGTATAACCAAAGAATTTTTATTTGCGAGCGATAAGAAGATTCGCTGTTGCACGTTCCTCAGTTATCGCTAATGACAAATTTCCGCAGAATCCTTATAAATATATATTTTTTTATCTAAGACGAAATCACGTCTGATGACCTGATAACGAGCGAACACTATCGCGACATAACCGGATAGTGTTTGCCAAGGAATTATCGTTTCTAACGGGAAAACGTTTCCTTCGAGTGATTCGCGCGAACAGCTTTGATTCATCGCAACGATAACGTAAGACGTCAGAAATCTGCACTTGAGTTCTACCATTAAATCTAAAAAAAAGGAAAAGACCGACATTTTTACAACTACAAGTAACTTGCTATTAATTGATATCGATTCGATTATTATTGCCAGAACAAAAGGAATTATATAAAAAATAATATGTATCGATAAACTGCATGTTTAATACGTATTTAATTACATGTTTAATACGTAGTGTAGGTCACTAATGTTTCATAGTGTATAATTATCAGAAGCAAAAACTTTCACTGAAGTATTCGTACACATGTATAAGGTGGTTCAATAAAAGTTGTCACCTTGGATATTTGCGGAAGTAAAAATATAAGAGAAAAATGTCACCAATGAAAGTTATCTGTTACGTAATCTTTCACAAAACATATAATAGCAGTTTTATTCGAAAAATTTCTCTCATTAATACACGTTATGTGTATCGAATGTCGAGAAATATTTCACGGTCTAACATTTAAAATAAAAGCGAAATCATTGTATTTTTATGATTTTCTTTGTTTAGGGATAAAGGATGACCAAACATCGAGAGTGCAGTGGCAGAAGATTCATACTGGTCAGGATGAAGACATGGTGAGTATCTACAATAATTTATTCTATAGCACAATTTCACAGATATCTTGATTAAACTTGATATGTTACTTTTAGCGTGTTTATGGATTCGAAAAGAGCAGATCTAAAAGTATCCTGACTTATGTTTCTTACGTATTAACCATCGGGTGGATCAGACTCTTGTTCCACTGGTATCCCCAATTACATCTCTATGCTACTCACAACAAATGTTCTTTGAGTTGTGCCACGAAATTGCTTATAACTGTAAGAATTTTGAACTATGCGTCATTAGAAATTTTTTATCAATTTTTAAAAATATAGATATCAATCGTATCGAATATTCAAAATTTCGACCATTTCATCCTTCAAAACATATTTATTTAAAATATCCACGAAGAAACTAATCTTTCGGATTAACATAAATTATTTAATTAATAGTTATGGATATAATTTCGTATCTAGGATAACTATCAAGGAAAATATAAATCATATTTCGTGAAGGATGTGAAGACTATCTCGGCAAAGAATATCAGGTTGGTTCAGTTCTGAACTTCCTGTCAATATAATCTTCACAGATTCAAATAGATTTTCTTTTTTATTAGTACCCGGGATTTATTCAGAGATTTGGGTAGCAATGATGAGGAGTTCGTGGAGAAAATCAGGTGTAAAAAGTTGAAGATTAATTTAGAGAATGGCACACAGTGTGAAATGTACGAGGTCAGAGCTTTCTGGTGTAAAAAGCAATGTTACATCTGGGACGTTACACAAAATACATTTTCTAGATTGGTAGGCCTAGACAAGTACACACTGTGTTCGGATCTTAATCTTAATAATAATCATGGACTCTCTAAGGAAGAACAATGCCTTAGGTAGTGATAAAGTAATCTAATAAGTGATAATTTATGCATTCACATCATGATTTTAAAAGATTCGGAATAATTAAGCAATTACTCCAACAAACAAAACGCCGTATTACATTATACATATTTAATTCATTACATTCATTTTTTATTTAACATTCAGAGTATTATTCGAAATTAATGATTATTATTCTGATATCTCTTCTCATTTTATAGACGGATCGTATACGGAAGCAATGAAATCGGCGTTCCTGTGCAAAATATAGGCGTATTACTATTGTTAGAAGTCTTGAATCCATTTTACATTTTTCAAGTATTTACTCTGTGTGTGTGGTTTACAGAAGGCTATTTATACTATACCGCAGCAATCATATGTATGTCATTGTTTGGAATTATCAGCTCTATAATACAAACCCGTAAGGTAAAAACGCTATTCTAAAATCTTATTGCGTTCTGAAACGGGCATTATTTAAGTAAAACGTAAAAGAATTTTATTTTGGATTAAAGTTAACCGGGAAGCTTGTTAGCTTTATCAAAAGTCTAATTTTTATAACGTTATATTTTACTAATCTAGATTAGGCTAATGCGTAGAAAAGACTAGTTCAGATCTGTTCCTGAATAATTAAACTGAAGGCCTTTCCTAGTTATTTGTTTCCTAGTTCTTACAACCTCGCTATATTTATTCTATAATATGTACTGGAACAGTGTATGTAAGGTAATTTCTTCTTAGAAATTTTACAGCAATCCAGAGTCCATTTATAAACGTCTAAAGCCCAAAGCGTAAATGTAAATTTTCCATAGACCTCTTTGAATCCTATATTCATGTTGAAACGAGAAACGTTTTGCAGAATCAAATCAATCTTCACGGTACAGTCACATCCACGGAAACAGTTCGCGTGTACAGGAACTCTAAAGTGACAGAAAATATACCGAGCAGTGATTTAGTACCAGGTGATATCATAGAACTACCCAAGCATCAGGCCACTGTCGTTTGCGATGCGGTACTTTTAACAGGACAATGCATTTTAAACGAATCGATGCTGACTGGTATGATTAGTCACAAACTAATAGTAACTAATTGTAAATGTTTCACGAAATTTTTTGAACACCCACCTAAAACATTTTTATTTACATATTATTTGTATTATATAAAACTTGTATTAAATACACATTTGTTTCAAATTTTATCAATACAATCATGATAGTCTCATTGTAGTTTTCAAAATTTTTCGTATTAACACAAATAATAACATTCGTAAAGAGTTTCTACAAGTGTTCGAATACTCTTGTTGATTACTGCATTAATTAGTTTTCACTTACTGAATAAAATTTTAGGGGAATCTGTACCCGTAACGAAAACCCCATTACCATCGCGTCACGTTTTGTACGATTCTAAAGAATGCTCTCATCATACGATGTATAGCGGCACCACTATTATCCAAACAAGGTAATACCTTGTTCGAACTGTGCATAATTGCATACGTTGTAAATTGTAAACTATTTTTAACTGTTAATTCGCATTCGTCGCTAGAAGTTACAACGACCAACCAGTTCTAGCTCGAGTTATTCGAACAGGATTCCATACGAGTAAAGGTTCTTTGGTCGCTGCTATCTTGTACCCACCCCCTGCAGATTTTAAGTTCGATCAAGATTCTTACAAGTTTATTGGCATACTAGCACTTATCGCAACATGCGGTTTCATTTACACTATTGTAACCAAGGTACATTTTATATTTTCATTTCCAAGAATAAAAGCTTAATGCATTTCTTCAATAAAATATTACACAAATATTCTCTTCTCTAGGCATCCAGGGGAATCACAGCGGGAGATATAGTGATAAAAGCTTTAGATATAATAACAATAGTAATTCCACCAGCATTACCTGCAGCAATGACCGTAGGAAAGTTATACGCTCAAGTACGATTGAAACGAGCACAAATATACTGTATTAGTAATAGAGTTATTAACGTATCTGGCAGTATAAATTGCATCTGTTTCGATAAGGTTAGAAGAATGTAGTCTACATAACATATATAATATTAAATCTGAGAATATTATATAATATTAGTTAATTATCTTTTGTATATTTCTATGTACAGACTGGTACTTTAACAGAAGATGGTTTAGATATGTGGGGCATTGTGCCTTGTACGAATGGTGTTCTCGGTGAAGCAGAAAGATCTATTCCCAAATTAAATAATCATCTTCTCTTTGAGGGAATGTTAGTTTGTCATAGCTTAACATTAATAAATGGTACACTCTGCGGGGATCCTTTAGACGTTAAGGTAATCTACTGTAATAAATTACAATTATACAGAAATCATCCTTGAATCGAAGTATCATTGAAAAAAGGAATGATTAATTATTGATTTAGATTAATTATTGCTTTAGATGTTCGAAAGTACCGGATGGATATTAGAAGAGTTCAATAACGAACATTCGAATAAATACGATCTCGTAGCACCAACAATCGTGAAACCGCCAAAAAACAATAGTTTCACGCAAAATATGAATGAAATATCGGAAATTGGAATAGTGCAACAATATCAATTCTCGAGCTCTCTCCAACGAATGTCTGTGATAGTACGCGTACTGGGTTCCGATACGTACAAAGCTTACACGAAAGGATCACCCGAGATGATACTTAGTTTAAGCAAACCCGAAACCATACCGAAAGATATAATGATCTGTTTAAAACGTTACACAGAACAGGGTTATCGAGTGATAGCTATGGGACAAACGAAATTACCCGAAAATAGTAATAAGGTAAAAATAATCAACTTGATATTTCTTTTTATAAACTTCCAATTTTCTATATTCAATTAGATTTTCGATTAAATTTCCTCTATCCTGCATAGATAATGAAATTGCCTCGAGATGCGGTCGAACAGAACCTTGAATTTCTAGGCTTAGTTATTATGGAAAACAGGTTGAAAGCACCAACTATACCAGTGATCAAGGAGCTAAGAACAGCTAACATACATGTTTTAATGATTACGGGTAATTAGAGTTTAGCAATTTCCGTACGATGGCATTTCAACATATTAGTATTAGTTGTTGGATAGCAAAATGACTCGCTCACTTTTCACATTCACAGGAGATAACATTCAGACTGCAGTGAGCGTTGCAAAAGAATGTGGCATTTTGTCGCCGCAAGAATCTGTGATAGATGTGACGGTAGTTATGGAAGAAAATAAATCACAGCCTGAGATTTATTTCAATGCTCAAGAAATGTCTTCAAAATTGGTAAATTCCTTAAATTCCAATGGAAATTTTCAAAATTGATATTCAGAAAGATTGAAGAGAACAGCTGGCTATTTCTTTTTTCCAGAGTCTTCATAATAAAAAACTTAACATACTGGAATTGAAAGATATAGAACGAAATATAGGCAACACTAATTATAGATTCGCATTAACAGGCCAATCATGGCAATTATTGCGTGAGCATTATCCAGATATCATAGCAAAAATTTGCGTCCGTGGTGCAATATTTGCCCGGATGACCAGCGATCAGAAGCAACAATTAGTGTTGGAATTAATGCAACTTGGTTATTATGTGGGTATGCATCGCCATTTAACATTTACCGTACATTAATTTCATTATCCTGTACAATAGCCATTTCAAAATGTTTTATAATCATCCTAGCTATGTGTGGAGATGGTGCTAATGATTGCGGTGCTCTGAGAGCCGCACATGCAGGCATATCTTTATCCGAAGCAGAATCTAGGTAATATCTCAATGCTAAAGAATTACATCATTTTTTTACGTAATAACCACGAGCGACTTAACTTTCATATATGTCAAGTTTATCATACATAATTTATGTATATATTTTTTATACTATATAATGATTCTAAAAATTTAGCCAACACTTGCTCTCAGTTTATTTTTTAATTATACACTTAGAGACAAGAAACAACTTTCTATTTACAAGGAGAGTTAGCTTAAATTTCTAGAATTATTCTGAATATTTATGTAGTAACATTCAGCAAAATATCGTTTTTAGCGTTGCGAGCCCCTTCACATCCAAAGTACCGGATATAACCTGCGTACCAAAGGTGATAAAGGAAGGTCGTGCTGCACTAGTTACGTCATTTGGAATTTTCAAATTTATGGTCACCTATTCATTGACAGAATTTTTATCTGTCATTATTCTCTACTCGATCGACTCGGATCTGACAGATTTGGAGTTTCTGTTCATCGATATCTGTCTTATCGTTAACTTTGCTTCATTTTTCGGAAAAACTCGAGCGTACGAAAAGCAGTTAGTAAAAAAACCTCCTATGACTAGTTTGCTAAGTTTCACGTCGATCTTCTCTTTGTCTGTACATATGTTGATAATGACGATTTTTCAAACTATCGCTTATCATGCGGTTCGCACTTTTCCATGGTTTACACCATTCATTTACAGCAATGACACTGGATATATGTGTTATGAGAATTATTCCGTTTATTGCGTTTCTATGTTCCAGTATATAACGATGGCTATAATATTTTCACGTGGGAAACCATATCGAAAAGCCATTTACACGAATATTGCATTTATATCTTCCATAATATTATTGACCATCGTTTGCGCTTATATCACGGTTTATCCAGCAAATTGGATAGTAAATATGCTTCAACTATTCTTGCCTCCAGCGTACGACTGGAGGATTATTATTTTAGCACTCGCTTTTGCGAACTTTGTAGTTTGTTTCTTCGTTGAAACGTTTGTTATAGAGTATTTAATTGAGAAAAAATCCAAATCGAAATTTTACAAACCTGAGAAATCTAAAAAGGAATATTTAAGAATAGAACACGAGCTAAAGAACAACTTAAGTTGGCCAACGCTAAGTAAAGAATTACCAACTTTACCATTAACTCCGAGCGTAGAAAATATCATTAACGTAACGTATCCAGAGGAGAAATCTTATAATAATGACACTAAAACGAATTTACAAAACAATAGGACAATAAAGTCTAAAAACAATGATGGATTGCACGCATTTGATAACTACTCATTCGTTGATGATGAATCACCACGAAATACAAATATGGTAACTAGAGTTTAAGTCGTACCTTGAAAATACTTTACCCGATTTTACAATTTTCAGTACTAATATATGTGCGTAAGTATTACGAAGTATTTTCGAAACTTTAAGAGTGGTGCTGTAAAACGATACAAACATTTTCAAAATAATGCTTGTAATTGTTGTATATGTATAGTGTATGTTTGTAATAATTATCAAGTAATTATCAATAATTTAATAAAATTAACGATTGCATATTACTAATAATGTTTCAATGTCGAATAATATTTTTGAAATTTTAATAGTAATTTATTAGTAATTTATTAAAAACATGAAAAATACAGTTTTCGTAGGAATTTGTAACAAAAATGTATGTAAAATATATATTTATTTTGCTTAGTAGAAAATTTGGGTATCTAAGAAGTAAAACAAATTACATATCATAAGACGAGACTGTTTGTTGTCTTCGGATCCGATAATTTCAATCTTTTTAGCGTTTTCTGTAATACGAATAATAATGCCATTGTTCGTAAGCGTATATGCAATGATAAATATAATATTTTTAAGTATATTTACCTATAATGTCTTTGTAATTTGCCACAAGTTCTTTTTGAATCCAACCTCTATAACGGAGCGCAATTTTATTTATTATTTGTATTGTATTTTCATGTATTTTTGACTTTAACAATAGATTTGGCAAAGTTGAGATAAATTCTTTAAATGCACTTTCCCTATAATAAATTAGACATTATTGTAAGAACATTAGGGACAGGTTTAAAAAAGATAGTAGAATTATTTACCTGTGCAATTCATGTAAAGTATGATCTAACATTATCTCGCTAATCACAGAAAATAATTGTAACTGCATCTCCCTTTTTGACTGATTACAACATGCATTTACAACTGATTGTAAGGTTTCACTTAAATCAAGGTGATTTTTGTACCAAACTTTACTTGCTTTTAAAAATAATGTTCTCAGAAGCTTAGTCAGTTGTGGTAATACAGTATTATTTATGTCAGACCAGATTTCAAGTTTCCCTATTAACGAAAAAAGCATTAATATATGTTTTATCAACTTAACTGAAAACGCTAGAAATAGGTTCTACTATACCATTTAAATACTTAATTATAGATGTGCAATAATTTTTCATTAATTTAGACATCATTTTATCATCACTTTGTATCGATGTAAACCATACATAAATTTGACAAATTGCTAAGTTGTATCCTAAACAAATGTCATATGAATTATCTATAGCAAAATCTTGTTGGCGTTTTCTATTTCTTATTGAAGGAAGGAAACATCCTGTAGCACCTAATTTATTGTATGGAAATTTTGAAACGAAATTCTTTGTGTAAGAATCCTGGAAATTACTTTTGAACCAAAATTTCATATTTACATCACATTCTGTATATAATATATCTATACATTCAATTATTAATTGTATTATTTCTACAGTACTTTTTAATAATTCCAATGCTTCTGTAGAAATCAGAAGTGCAGAGTAGTCAATATTTTTCTCATCTGGACATACTTCAATCCAGCTGTCAAATATAAGTGGCATGAGTAATTCTATATAACTCATAAGTTCATCTGCATCTAAAGTATTATTACTGTTATTTCTTCCTTCATTGTCAATTCTTTCAAAATCAACTTCACAATTCTGAGAATTCATATTTGTATAAATAGGAATATATCTAGTATTTTTATTCACAGTTATAACTTTTGCACTTTCACCTGGACTGATAATCTGTTGAGATTTAAAAAAGGTAACAATAGAACTAAACATAGTAGCAAGTCTTTCTAATACTTTTATCCTCCATTTAACATTAGTAGTTTTAGAATTTAAGGTTGTTACTAATTGTCTTCCAGGTTTCATTTCTGTATGCAATCTGGAAATCATATCTAAAAAATTTGGCAATACTTTATAACTGTTTCTTGCTAGTATATTGCTACAATTTTGTATAAGTACATCCAAGAAAAGTAAGGCATCTTCTTTGATATAAGGATCAATATGTGTCATAGCACATCTCAAATAGGAAATCAATACATCACAATATGGATTAAGTTGATCATTAGAAACTGGTCCAAGGATTAGACTCAAAACTTTCAAAGAGTTACGTCTAATATCTCTCTCTTTATCAAGGGACAACGCACAAACACCTTGCAAAAGTGGTCCAAATTGTGAACTTAATAATTTCAAAGAATGTTCTGACAAAATTTCTTTTAATTCTTTCACAGCATCTTGTCGAACTGTTGAATTATGATGTTGTAAACGTGACAATAATTCCTAAAAATCAAATTCTTATTTTGAATCTTAATATAGAATTATAAATACAGAATAATACCTTAATATTAAGCTTCCTCTTGCTAAGTATGTCCGTCTCATCATGCTGCTTCAACTGTTCTCGTATAACTATCTTTTTAACTTTAAATGAAGGATCTGTGACATTTAATCCTTTTGGTAAATGTTTCGTTTTCTTTGCTTTCAGTTTTACCTTTGCTTTTTCAGACTTTAGGCGTTTCAAATGTTTATGACCCTTAGCCATGACTAATTAGTATAAACGAAATAAATTTCTGTCAAATTTTAGTTAATAAAAATTATTGTATGTATATTTGTTTTAGGTTATGTTCATATAACTTTTAGGTTAGTACAAAAAATATACTTTATGTAAGTCATTACTCACTATATAGCAGATTGGTTAAAAAATGTGCATACAATATGGTAAAAGTAATAAAAAACACCTCGTATTTTCAAAATTTTCTTATAAAAACGTAGTTATATATCATATACCCACGAGGTATAGACATAACTACTTAGTCATGTCATGTGCTTTTAAATATACATATATACATTAAACTGAAGTGACATGTAGAAGTGCATTTCTCTACTCTGACGTCGGATATAATGTAAATTTCTTTAATTTAGAGAATATAATTTGTAAATGTCTGTAAAAAGATTTCTTATTTCTTGAAATCGATGTCTTATCCTCATGTAACAATATTATTGTAAGTGGATTCATTAAACTCTACGACTATATATATTAGGTTAGGTCGTTTTAGAAAAATATTTGCATCTTCAGTCTTACAAAACATTAATTCGATTACAGGTTTATCGTGACGAAGCAAATGTGTTTAGAAAAAAAAGGTAAATAGTTTAATTATTTCACGTTTTATATTGAAATAGAATGACATCATAAATTTCTAGAAAAAATTGTTTACTGTTGCACCTTTTTTTGTAATTATTCGTTAATGCGAAATGATGTAATATGAAATTAATTTATATTATAAAAATATGATGTTATGATTTATCTTATGTTTATAAGCATGATATTTTTGATTATGATATATTTTAGTTAATGTCTATGTTAATTTGTAAAACTATATAAAAATATATAAATTTTATGTGGCATTTGAGTATCTAGTGATATTTAGAATTTTGTAACTCTAAACATAATAAAACTTATATAATCTCATTATGATACAGTATTTTATCTAAATATAAGCTTTCAATATACATATAATGTATCTTATATACTTTTTCAGATGTTATCAATAAACTAGAAGTTACAATGAATTAAAATAATTGTGAATGGATTAAATAATACGGTGATTAATAGTGTAAACTTGTAATATAATAACAAACATTACCGTTAAAGGGTTACTTTTATGACCTTCTAGAAGAGTGGCAAATTTAAGTTTGAAAGAGTCAAAGATGAATACTACGATGACTTACTGTCCTCCAAATATTACCTTTTCCGATATTTGGGTGGACCATGGAATGTCCAAATGCTTCATGGACACTATCAGTATTGCAATTATTTCTTCATATTTATTAATTTTTGGTACAGTTCAACTTTGGATGTATCGGAAATATGGGACAGAAACTGCTGCAACTTTATTACCTAGAAATAAATTGTACAATGTTCAAAAATTCTTCCTTTATTTTGTTCCAATACTTAGTGTAGCAAGAATAATTCTACAAGGAACAGTTTTGAATGACAATAAAATATATGGTTACATGGTAACAGATTATGTTCATTTTTTATTCTTTTATATAATAATATTCTTTAATTCTAGAATATAATGAATTTTAATTTTTAGATTCTCACAACAGTATTAACAATAATTGTGTATCCATATTCAATGTACATACTAAAGGTAGAAAGGCATAAACTGTTACCAAGTGTGCCACCACAAGGACATGGACTTGTATTATTGGGTTTTTGGACTTTAGCATTTGTTGCAGAAAATGTTGTGTTTGTTAATATTGGTAATGTTGAATGGTGGTTTCATTTAAACACGTAAGTTTTAGAATAATAATAATAATAAGCTTTCTAAATACTCACATGATTAAGGAACTATCTATATTTGTATATTATATCTGGTGAGATGGTTCTTATGTATGTGTGTGCTATTTACAGATTAACAGACCAGATTGAGATGGCACTGTTCATTCTACGTTATGTTAGCAACCTTATTATCTTTGCTCTAGGTCTCAAAGCTCCAGGAATAACTGGCAATACAGATTCTGAATATCATACTTTAAATAATGATCCAACTCCACGGTCAAGATATTATCAAGGTGTAAGTCAGTGAAATATATTCTTAGTGGATAATTTGAATTTAATTGAAAAAAAGTTTTGTAATCACTATTGGATGAAATAAAAGCTTTGAATATATAAAGAAAATGAAATTTGTTATATCAATATATAAATAGTTATCTGTTAACATTAATTATTTATTAAATTTTGTGTTTCATGATAATATAGCTTTGACAATATTTTCAGAGACCTGAGGATACCAGTTCTACGTGGAAGAATGCATGGTATAAGATAAAAACTTTGATACCATTTTTATGGCCAAAATCTTTCATGCTCCAACTCCGTGTTACTTTTTGTTTTGGACTACTTATGTTGGGACGTTTAATTAACTTATATGTTCCAATTTATAATAAAAAAATTGTGGATAGTGTCACTGATATTCCTGTATTATTTAGGTATACAAAGTTTTCATTAAAATCTTACAAAAATAAATAAATAGGTGTATTTCATAAAATGTTTAACTTTCATAACAGGTGGGATCTTATATTAATATATGTAGCATTCAAATTCTTACAAGGTGGCGGTACGGGTGGTATGGGGTTACTAAATAATCTTAGGTCATTTCTGTGGATTCGTATACAACAGTATACAACTCGAGAAATTGAAGTAGAATTGTTTAGGTAAATAATCTTTTTTCGTAGAATCTTTTATACTTTTACATTTAATCTTTATATCTAAACGTTTTTTTAGACACTTACACAGCTTAAGTTTACGTTGGCATCTAGGAAGAAAAACTGGAGAGGTCTTAAGAGTTATGGATCGCGGGACAGACTCTGTAAACAATCTTCTCAATTACATCTTGTTTTCAATTGTTCCAACAATTGTTGATATCATTGTAGCTGTTGCATTCTTTGTTGTTGCTTACAACAAGTGGTTTGGCTTAATTGTATTTCTGACTATGAGTCTTTATATAGGCAAATACTACATTTTTAACACTTCTGTATCCATTATTAAAATCACAGAATTTTTATTAAATTTCAATATTTTTGTACATTAGCTGCTACAATCTTGGTTACTGAGTGGCGTACTAAGTTCCAGAGACGCATGAACTTAGCAGATAATGCTCAAAAAGCACGAAGTGTAGACAGTTTACTTAATTTTGAAACTGTTAAATATTATGGGGCAGAATCATATGAAGTCGATAGTTATAGAAAAGCAATATTGGAATTCCAAGCTGCAGAATGGAAATCAATGATAACATTAAATATTTTAAATACTTTACAAAATATAATTGTTTGCAGCGGTTTGCTTGCTGGTTCTTTACTTTGCTTACATATGGTTAGTACAAAAAGTTATTCCAATTGTTTCAAATTTAAATATTTAACAAATATATATAATTAACTTATGATTATAGGTTATAACCAAACAAGGTTTAACCATTGGTGACTATGTTTTATTTGCGAGTTATATCATTCAGCTTTACGTGCCACTAAACTGGTTTGGAACATATTATCGGTCAGTATTTATGCCAGTATTACTTAAGCGTCAAATTATATTACCTTTTTTTAAAATAATTATATTTCTTTATTTTAAATACAGCGCAATACAAAAAAATTTTGTTGACATGGAAAATATGTTTGATCTTCTGAGAGAAGATCAAGAAATTATTGATGCTCCAGGCGCTGGTCCATTAATAGTAAAACGTGGCTTACTAGAATTTTTGAATGTGACATTTAGTTACACACCTGAAAAAATTATATTAAAAAATGTTAGCTTCGTCGTGCCAGCAGGAAAGACTGTTGCATTGGTTGGACCATCTGGAGCGGGAAAATCTACTATTATACGACTATTATTCAGATTTTATGATGTGGAGCAGGGTGCAATTTTGATTGACGGACAAAATATTAAAACCGTCACTCAGGATTCCGTGAGACGAGCTATAGGTGTTGTACCTCAAGATACAGTATTATTTAATAATACCATAAAGTACAATATTCAGTATGGACATATTGAAGCTATAGATGCGGATGTAATATCAGCAGCTCGAAACGCGGACATTCATGAGAGAATTCTTTCATTTCCAAATGGTTATGATACACAGGTATGGGTTTAATAATAAAATTATTCTGTTGATGCCTCATCATACTTATTTTATTTGGTTTATGCATAGGTCGGTGAAAGAGGTCTCCGTTTAAGTGGCGGAGAAAAACAACGCGTTGCTATCGCGCGTACGATACTGAAAGAACCAGCGATTGTACTTTTAGATGAAGCAACAAGTGCACTTGATACGCAAACAGAACGTAACATTCAAGCAGCGTTAAACAAAGTTTGTGCTAATCGAACGACTATCATCATAGCACACAGATTATCTACGATAATACATGCCGACCAAATTCTTGTTTTACAAGATGGAGAAATCGTAGAGAGAGGCAAACATGAAGAATTGATTTCTTATAATGGAAAGTACCATTCCATGTGGCAAGCACAATTGCAAAATGATCAGGAGGCTACCAAAGATTCAAACGATGACGCTTCAGAAAGCAAAACAATAAAATCATAATTACGTTTGATTTTATTCTTTAAATTTAATAATTGATTTTTTAAAAATGTATATTACTTATCTGTTTGTGAAAACTGACAGAAATCTATTTGTATCAAGTTACTTACATGGGTAACTTACTAAAAAGATGTAAATTTAAACAAACATATACATCTTAATTTAATATCTGTTTTAAATTTATATGAAGAATTTGTGATAGCAACTTCTTAGCTCTGTAGATAGTTTACTATGATCAGAGCATGATACGTATGTATGTATAGAGTTATTATTGAAAATGGTCTAATTATTGTAGATGAATGTTTTTTGCAAATGTCATTGAAGTCTCATTTTTTAAAAGAATGAATAAACTAATGTTTATGATAACTAGAGTTCCTCATCAGTTCCATACTTAGTTGTAAATAAACATTTTTACTCAATTGTTCACATTTATTTGGCACCATTTATTGTATCAGAGACAGATAATTAAAATTTATTACAGTTAATTTCTTTATGCAAGTTTAATAATATTAAGCGCTTTGCTCTTCAGGCTGTGCTCCAGTTTGCATAATTTCACATGCAAATGCTCCATCTGGTACCCAGCCAGATTCATCAATCGGAGTTGTTACAGTTACTTCTTGTGCACCCCAAAAATAATAACTTGTAAAAAATAACCATACTAGAGCGTACACTACCTAGTAATGTAAACAATTAATAAAAGCATTATCTTTATATTAAATTTTGTAGTAAATATGCATTTTAGCTTTCTAGAACCACTCGTCTTAAATTTTTAATAATGTTACAGGTAAAATTTACTTGAGATGAAAAGAATTACTTTGAAAGCGATTTTCGTTTCTTGTGTAACCATATTGAGAAATCACAAATGGAGTTTATTCATTTCTATCCAATTTTGATGGCAGAATTTTCACAATTTTGTTATAAAAGAATAATTTAAAAGATTCAATATCGATTGTAAAATTTATAGCAAGTTTTACATTTGTAAATTTTTTATAGAACTCGAACACGATCAATTTTAAAGAACGTATCCACCAAAAATTATTTATGAACAACTGACGTACAATAATCTAACTTAAACTGATCACTAATCTCAATGGTAACGTATGTGTTGTGTGTCAAGATGTTTGCATATGAATAAAGATAATACATCAAGTAGAATCTTTCTTTTATTATGAATAACTAAGAATGAATAGCCTTGGTTTAAGCTTGATTTTAAAAATGGGCTGTATATGCTCAAAGGACACAATAACGATAAATTCAAGAAAATACACGGTTCGTGAACATCTTGGAGAAGGGTAAGTCTAACCATGAAATCAAATGTTATATATTATTCTAAAGCTTATCTATTTATGCAAATTTTATATAGTGCCGGTGGCCTTTATTTTAAAATACTTTATATCATATATTATGCTTGCATCGTTAAGGTAAGTTTTGTTATGTATCATTTAACCTAATTCATGTCACATTTGCGCTGTATGAAAATTAATTTTTCTAAGTTATATGTAGATGCATTTAATTTAATAATGAATATCATAAGATATTTTCGTTGTTTGTAATATGATTTTAATGCAATTTTAGTGGATTTAGCACTGTACTCTTGGTAGAAGATATAATGACTCACAAAAAGTATGCCATTAAAAAGATAATTTGTCATGGATTAGAAGATCAGAGATTAGCAGCAAAAGAAATAGAATACTATAATCTTGTAAAACATCCAAATATTATAGAATGTATTGATTCTACCTATAAAGGAACAGCAGATCCTATTGCTAATGCAACAAGTGAAGTATTGATTGTTTTACCATATTATCATGTAAGTTATTTTTACATTAAAATATATATCTTAAATAATATATTTATCAACTTTGAATGAATTAAGATATAAATGTTTTTATTCTTAGAGAGGTACCCTTGCAAATGAATTGGAAAGACGTGCTAGAAATAAGGATTACATGAGTGCAATAGATATTTTAAATATTTTTTTACAAATATGCGAAGGTGTAAAAGCATTTCACGAAACAACTCCAGAACCTCTTGCTCACAGAGATTTAAAGACTGCGAATATTGTCCTTGATGATGGAAATACTCCCATTTTAATGGATCTAGGTATATTTAATTTATTATAATATTCAGTAATAAACAATAATTATTAAATCAAGATTGTCTTCTGCAGGTTCTGTAGCTCCAGCCAGAGTTAAGATATGCGGTTCACAAGCAGCACAAAGTTTACAGGACTTAGCAGCTGAAAGATGTTCAATGCCATATAAAGCACCAGAATTATTCAATGTCGAAAGTTATTGTATGGTAGATGAACGAACAGATATTTGGGTAAGATCAATAATTCTTAATTCTAAATATTTATTCTTAATTCTGATATATATTGAAACATATATATTGTTTCAGTCATTAGGATGCATTCTTTATGCATTGTGTTATTTTAAATCGCCATTTGACGCGGTATATGAAAGGGGAGATAGTGTTGCTTTAGCTGTAATGAGCGCAAATATTACATTTCCAGAAGATGCTCCATATACGGAGGTACAATAATACCTAACTGCAATTATTAGACTTTCAAAAATTTAACGTTTAATTCCTTTTATTTTACAGGAAATGCAAAATTTGATTTTATCAATGTTAAAGGTAAATCCTATGGAACGTCCTTATATATACAGTGTTATAGAAAACGTACAAGATTATATCTCGAAGCTAGAAAACAAAGTATAATCATGTAAAAAGCAATAATTTTAATGTTTATTTAAACATTTGTGTACAGGCAATTTTTTATACATACGTAATGTTTATTGTCCTACAAAAAGAGAAATGCAATATTCTAATGCAATAACACAAAATGAAAGTTTTAAACAGAACAACTGGAAACAATTGCATTACTTCGATATATGACTTTGAGATATTTCATTCCTGAAAAAGAGAAGTAAGACATTTATGAAATAAGAGAATAACTTTTTCAAGCAAGCGGTTTATATACATTTTAAATATGTAAATATCATCATTTTAAATTTTAAATAATGCTCTAGATTTATAACACATTTATGTAGTATTATTGAAAACACAAATACGATAATATATGTTAATATATATAAAGAATATAGTTAACTATCTAATTAGCTACCAACTTTTACATATAAGTTGACTTAAACATATATTACTTTATACACTGCTGCAAATCAAGCATTTATTGTAAAAATACTAGGGGCCATACATTATTTAAATTCAGAGATAAGGTATTGTTCTCAAAGCAACAATCACTTAATGCAAAAATGTTCATAACTGTATATATTTTTATATATATAACGCAATGAATTTTTTTTTTCAATTATGCATATTGAATGAAAATTTCTTGAAATTTGATCAAAATAAAAGCTATCATTGCTATGTTTTTAGTGCTATAAATAATTATTAACGTCTTTGCATTTCTTGTTGGACGTTTTCAAAATTCACGTAACTAAGCTTATTGTATGCAAAACTCGACAACATATTTAATCTAAAATTTACGTGCAGATAGTGGTTGGAAGAATCGTACGATATGACGTATTAGTGTTACGTCACGAATACGTCATAATAACCAGATAAAGTTTGAATATATTTGTATATCGTTAATAATATTTTCCATTAATTTGATGTAACCTTATCGTAAAATAAAATTTGTGTTTTATTAATTTATCAACAGAGCGATTAATACGGGAGCGTGAACAGTGTGATTTTGATCGTAAGGATGCATCAATAATTTTAAACCATACTTCACACCGGTAATGTCACTACAGTAATTTAAAGTAGTTTTTTTCATGAGTTTGTACTTGAAGTAGACATCTCTGACTTGTTTTCCAGATAGTGAAGGCTTCCCAAATTACTTTTTATATCATCATCTGTGTGCACAGATTGCACTTCGTAAGTAATTTTATATGTATATATATATAATATACATATATATTATATGTATATATACATATATACCGAAATAAAATTTTTATTACTTTTCATAGTAACAAACTAACCTTACATAGAGCCCAAAGTAAGGAATTCTTAATTTGCATCAATAAAAGATCTAGGAATTATATCGTTACAAGTTTAATAATGCATTCAAATAGGTTTCCAATTACTTTTTGTAATAACAAACTAACCTTATGTGAAGGTAATTTCGTAAGAAACATTTTCGGTAACAGAAATTTAGCAATTTAAGAATCTTTGTCATTAACGTATTTACAATATTAGAATCAAAAATGGATTATTGAATTGACACTAGAAATAATAGAAGTAATTCTTTTTCTTTTTTATCCGATGTTAAATTTGTTATACAAAGTATAATTTTTATTAAACATCAAGATAACATAACCTTAGTTTTTTATAATTTTGGAAATAGTACAATTTCTTTATCTATTAAAATCATTTTAAAAAATGTTACTTTGTACTGAAATATATAATTTATATAAATGTTTAAACAATCTAATATTTCATAGGTTCTAAGCACGATTTTTGTGTGCTTCCTTTTGTTATATTAAATTATTGTAAGGATATGATATATTCAAATTTAAGTCTTATCGTGACGTAGCAAATGCTGATGATTTACGCAAGAAATCTCGCGTGCTGCTATTATGCTGCCATTATCTGGTATTATGAATTTCAAGCAAAAAGCGGCATAAGTTTATCATAAAGGAATTATCCAGTAATTTGTTTATTAGATTTAACATTAGAAATTCTCATGTTTGTATATATACATCTTTATATACATTTTTTCTAATTTTCTTATCTTTTTTCCCGTTCTTTTTTTCAAGAATTGTCGTTAAGTATTATTTTCAAGAGTCGGCAACTTGAAAAGGTCAAGGTTAAATTTCAGTTCATTGTAGGCGACGATCACAAGTAGAAAGATAAACATGAAACTTTCATGAAGCTATTATTAGTTAAATTTGGGTTGCTTTTCGTGGTTAGGAATAATTTATAAACTTTCTTAGTGTCCTATAGACTACAGATATTCTTAGAAATGTAGATGTTCAGGAGAATTAATATTTTTATGCACACAACTGTAGAAATGAAATCAAAATAGATTTTTTTCAAATTAGATTTTCTTCCTTTTAAATAAGAATTAGAAATAAAAATAGTAATTTGTATAAATAACTAGCGTACGTAATTACTATACTACATACGCACTACAACCTGTTATGAAATTGCGTGTCAACGTTTGATATTTTGTAAGAGAAATTTACGACTATATAAGATTCTAATCAGAGTTTTCTACTGTACTCAATAAAGTTAATATAAACTACTAGATATCAAATTGTACAGTAGATTTATCTGATGATAAATTATTTAAAAAATCAATAGATAGTGATTTACTATTATTTTTTCTAAGCCGGTAACTTAAATAAATGAAAACGTGATTATTATGAAATAATCGCTAATAAAGCGATGCCAAGGTCTGATCGTAAGAAAAAAATTCGTCATATAATAAATAATTGATATGAGTTCCTAGATA